AGCCAAAGGCTTTAGCTCTCATTTGGTTAAGGATAAGCCTAAAGACAGTGATGCAGATTTCAGTTCATGGGAACAAAGAGATGCTCAGATCATTTCCTTAATGCTGAATTGTATTGAACCCAATATCAACTCCAACTTGTTGTATTTAGATACTGCCAAGGAGATATGGAACCGCCTCCAACAACTATATTCAGGTACTGGTAATATCACCAGAATTTATGAGGTGTGCAGACAATTTTTTGACCTCCGGCAAGGTACTCACAGTCTAGCAAAGTACTTCTCACAGTCAATGGGAATTTGTGAAGAAATGAACTTGTATCAGCCCATCACCTCTGACGTGAAGAGCATGCAACAACAACGTGAGGATTTTAATATTGTTCGGTTTCTCATGGGGGTGTCACCAGAATATGAATCTGTTCATGCACAGATTTTGGGTAACCCTGCATTTTCCTTTCTTCCTGATATGTTCTCCAGACTCCAGTGTGCTACTCTATCTAGTGGCGCTTCCGGGAGTGCTTCAAGTGGTGTCACTGCTCCTCCTAGCAGTGAATGTTCTGCATTAATTGTGAACTAGGGTGGTTATCAGTCTTCTCGTGGCAGTGGCGGTCGTTTTACCCGTGGAAGTGGTCGTGGCAAAGGCAGAGACTCAAAACTCTGCACTCACTGCGGTCTTACTAATCACACGATCAATTACTGTTTGGGATCTTCATGGGAAACCGCCACCTTCTTCATATGCACATCAAGTAACCTCTAATGAAGGGGATTCTTCTTTCTCTGCGACACCAAATGCTCCACAAGTGGTTGTTGAGCCTGTTATGGTCACCATGACAATTTCCCGCGATGAGTATGCTCAGTTTATGTCAACAACGGCCTTCCACCTCATCTTCCATGGTTTCCTTTGCCCAATCAGGTAGTGCACCTGCATGTCTCTTATCCTCTCGTCAGAGTCCCTGGATTCTTGACTCTAGCGCATCCGATCGCATGACTGGTAGTTCTCATCTCTTATCTGATTTTCAGTCTATTCTTTCCTCTCACAGTGTTACTCTTGCTAATGGCTCCTCCACTAAAGTTTTGGGTGTGGGAACCACCCATCTCACCTCTTCTATGTCCTTTTCCTCTGTATTTTATATTCCTCAATTCCCTTTTAATTTGACGTCCATTAGTCAAATTACTAAATCTCTTAATTGCTCCGTTACATTTTATCCCTCATGTTGTATTTTTCGGGATCTCAAGACGATGAAGAAGATTGGTACGGGACATGAAGTAGGTGGCTTGTATTACTTTGATCTTGCACCATCTCCCACGGCTCTTCAATCATATTTGTCTCCTTCCCAGGGGCACTGTCGTCTCGACCACCCTTCATTATCAGTTTTGCAGCGTTAAGTCCCGAGTCTTAGTCGTGTTGAGTCCATGCCTTGTGAAGCATGTCAGCTTAGTAAGCATTGTCGTGTATCTTTCAAACCGAGAGCTACCAATCGTGTTGCTAGTCCTTTTCAATTAATTCATTCAGATGTATGGGCCCAATAAAACATATTTTTATTAATGAATTTAGTTATTTTGTGACTTTTGTGGATGATCATTCTCGTTTGACTTGGTTGTTTTTAATGAAACATCGTTCCGAATTATTCTCTATTTTTCAAATATTTCGCAAAGAAATAAAATCTCAATTTGGATGTTCCATTAAAGTTTTACGTTCTGACAATGCCAAAGAATATTTCTCGGACCCTTTTGAGACTTATTTTCATGCTAAAGGCATCATTCATCAATCATCTTTTACTTATACTCCTCAACAAAACGGAGTAGCTGAACGTAAAAATCGTCATCTCCTGGAAGTATGTCGTGCCCTTTTATTCCATATGCATGTTCCCAAACGTTTTTGGAGTGATGTTGTTCTTACGGCCTGTCATCTTATTAATCGGATGCCTTCGTTGGTGTTACAAGGAAAATCTCCTCATTCTGTTCTATTTCCGAACTCCGCATCGTTTAATCTTACTCCTCGGGTCTTTAGATATGTGTGTTATGTCCATAACCTTGGGCCCGGTCTTGACAAACTCGACCCTCGTGCCACTAAGTGTGTTTTTCTTGGGTATTCTCGCACTCAGAAGGGTTATCGTTGCTACAGTCCTCATTTTCAGCGCTATTTCACTAGTGTTGTTGTCTCCTTTTCTGAGTCTCTCCCATATTTTTCTGATTCTACTACCCCTCTCGATATTACTCTTGAGCCACCTATGCCAACTGTTCCCTCTCTATTTCCTGCTCCCACACCTCCTCGCTCCGTTGTCCCCTTGCAGGTTTATACACGACTACCTACTTCGCTCCCTCCATCTCCTTCAGAGTCTTCGGATCCGGCGCCATCTACTTTGCCTGATGATTTGCCTATTGCTCTCCGTAAGGGTACTCGGTTGTGTGTTACTGCACATCCCATTTCTAACTTTGTCTCCTACCATAATGTTTCATCCTCTTTATCTTGTTTTTTATCCAAAATGTCTGCTACTTTTGTTCCCGACTTTGCAGGATGCTCTTTCTAATTCGGATTGGCGCAAAGCCATGGTGATGAAATGGATGCCCTTCACCATAATCAGACTTGGGATCTTGTTCCCTTACCTCCGGGCTCCAAAACGGTTGGTTGTAAGTGGGTTTACACTGTTAAATACCTTCACTATGGGTCTATTGAGCGGTTGAAGGCTCGTCTCGTAACAAAAAGGTGCACTCAGACTTATGGTATTGACTACGATGAGACCTTTTCTCCTGTTGCTAAGATTTCTTCTATTCGGGTACTTATTTCCATTACTGCCAATTGTAACGGCCGTTGTTTCAATTGGATGTCAAAAATGCCTTCTTGCATGGTGACTTGGTTGAAGAAGTTTATATGGAGCAACCACTTGGGTTTGTTACTCAAAGGGAGTATCGTCACACTGTTTGTCGCCTTAAAAAGGCCCTGTATGGATTGAAATAATCTCCACGGGCTTGGTTTGGAAAATTCTCTGAGGCGGCATTAGAATTTGGTCTTAATAGATGCTAGACCGATCATTCGGTATTTCACCAGCGCACTAAAGCTAGCTTCGTTTTTCTTGTGGTGTATGTAGATGATATTGTGATCACGGGTGATGATTCTGAAGGCATTGCTAAGTTAAAGTTGTTTCTGCAAAATCGATTCCACACTAAAGACTTGGGTAAACTTAGGTATTTCTTGGGTATTAAAGTTGATAAATCCAAGAAGGGTATAAATTTGTCTCAACGCAAATATGTGTTGGACTTATTAGAAGAAACAGGTATGTTGGGTGGCCGTCCAGTTGATGTTCCTATGGATTCAAATACAAAACTTGTGTCTGATGAAGGTGATTTATTTAATGACCTGGATAGATTTCATCGCCTTGTTGGGAAGTTAATTTTTCTCACTATCACTCGACCTGATATTTCATATGCAGTTAGTGTTGTAAGTCAATTCATGGAAGCTCCTAGAATGCCACATTGGATTGTTGTTCGTCGGATTATCTGATATCTCAAGCAAGCTCCAGGTTTTGGATTACTATATAAATCAAATGGTCATCTCAGGGTGGAAGGTTTTACAGATGCTGACTGGGCTGGTTCTCCTTCAGACATGAGATCTACTACAGGCTGCTACACATTTGTAGGAGGAAATCTTGTTACATGAAGAAGTAAAAAGCAAACGGTGGTAACTCGATCTAGTGCTGAAACTGAGTACAGGGCAATGGCCCATACCACTAGTGAGTTGACATGGATACAACATTTTCTAAAAGAACTTGGGTTGACAGTTGAAACTCCTACTCCATTGTTCTGTAATAATCAAGCAGCTATTCACATTGCATCAAATCATGTGTTTCATGAGAGGACCAAACATATTAAAGTTGATTGTCACTTCATTCGAGAAAAAATATTAAGTGGGAGCATCTCTACTCCATTTGTGAAGTCTGAAGATCAATTAGCTGATATGTTTACCAAAGCATTGGGTCATAATCGGTTAAGGACTATCTGTTCCAAGTTGGGATTATTTGATATATACTCTCCAGCTTGAGGAGAAGTGTTAGAATGTTTTGGGTCATTACGTAATTACATATAGTTGGTAGGATCATTGTGTAATTAGCTGAGTCTTGTATCTTTGTAGAAGCCACTGTAGGCTTAAGGGTTTAATATATGAAATACACAATTCTGTAGCCACCATGATCTCTCTCTCTCTCTCTCTCTCATCAGTTTGAACAATTTCTAACGTCCTTTCAATTTTAAAATGAAATTCTAACTTTATCTTAATATTCTGTGCTATTGAAGCTAAAATCACAAGGCAAGTAGCAAAATAGATGGAATAAGTACATGATAGGATTCTAATATAGCATTTCTATCCGCGGAATTGATCATGCAATGTGGTATCCATTTGTTGCAAGCAATGAATATGTGCCATTGTTCAAAGTTTTTTTTTTTTTTTTTTTTTTTTTTTTTGGTGTAATTTGAGTTTCTATCCATAGTTTACAGTATGCTTTTGTGAGATTTATTTCTTATCTGTGTTTGACAGTTGAATGTCATTGTGTATAATCATCAATCTTCGTGTTTGCCCATTTCAACCGTTGTGATGTGTTCTTTTGATTCTCTGTGTGGCCATTATGTTGTTATGATTCAAAAGGCTTAAGCTGTCACAGGTTCAAGCCAACAATAACAGATTTAAGCCTCGGATCTTCTCCGGCTAATTTATATCAGTGCCAGCTAGCTTGAGCTTCTCAAGTCAAAAGCTTGGGTTTCACACGTCTACCATTTTTGCAAGTATCAAATTGCAGAATGATTATGTATAAACTATAAAGTGCTGAGGTGCAGGAGACCTTTGTTGAATAAGTTCTGTCGCTTTCCAGTGAACTGATGTAGCAGACCTTGATGTCCCATAACTTATTCCTAAATTTTTTTCTCCACAGTTTGTGACTTTGCTATATGACTTTCTCATTATGGAGATAATCCAGAAACATCTAAAGACCTATTTATATATACAAATGCAGGATTACATGATTTGGTAGGAAGTAGAAAACGTCAGCTTATGCTATCAAGGCCGTATGATATTCCTTCCAAGCAAGAGAATAGTTGGGATGGAGATGAAGAAAAGTGAGAGCATACTGCAACCAATGCGTCATGACTTGAATGAGTGGAATCAAGAATATCGGCACTTGACAATGTCTCAGGAGCAGACCAAAAGAAGGATGAAGGGTTAAAAGTTAAGAAAGCTCTTGGTGAAGATACTTTTTATTAAAGTTTTGGGAAGAGATGAGGTTGTATTTTTTTGGTGTCAAATTTTGAGTTAGCTGTATGGCGTACAATTTGAATGCAGTTAATGACAGTTTGATAAAGAAAATTAGAAATGCAGCTTCTGATTTCTGGAGGTTCTACATTTTAGCAACAACAACAATAGCTTCCACATTATTCAGAAATAGAGGTTCAGTTACAAGTAGCCCCAGGAATCAAATGGATGGCATGATGTTGCGTGTGTTTCAAGCTCGGACAGATGATGCTTTCTTAAGACTAAGGTCGGCTGGCAGGCCATTCTGCAAATGAACCTGGTACTCGAGCTTGGATATTATTTAATGAATTGAGACCAGTGGAATCCTTAACCCCATCTCATTATTTAGGCTTTTGTTTTAATACATCTTTGAGAAAAAAGGTAAAGCTAGGTAAAAAGGATTTTGTTTACATTGTTTCATCAAAGTTCATAAGTTGGTTGCCTGTTCCTGTGTATGACCTACCCCCCAGTTCTCCAAATATAGTGGCATAATGTGTGGGTGTGGCCCTTTGGGTTGGTTGAATGTTTGTTTTGCCTCAAACATGTGTGTTTTCGGATGCGTGGAGTTGAATGAATTTGTTCCTTTTTTCCTTTTTGTTGTTGGCATATGATTGTTCATGTCCCTCTCAGTAGGTGCACGGGAGTTTTGAGGGTTTGGAGGTTATCAAAGTGAAAAATAAATAAATGAAATAAGGGGGGTATATACTTATGAAATCGTGATTTTCTATTTTCAAGCAAACGAGGAACGCCCACCGAGTTTTTTTCTCTTGATAAAAATGAATATTAGAACACCAAGCGTGGGCGGCAGGATTCGAAACTGCGCGGGCAGAACCCACATGATTTTTACGTGAATCTTCCACTTAAGAAATTTTTTTTATTTTTTATATGAAATATTTTTCATGTTCCTTTTTAATATAATTTTTTTTTAATTATCTTTTGTCTTCTTGTGATAAACAACCAATACAATAAATTAACCATAAGACCAAAATAGCATCATCAATCAAATGTTATAACGTGCCCAAATGCTGAGATATGCCCCCATCATCAATCAAATGTTTTAGATTAGTTGATTATATTTTCGTGGGTGCGGACTAAGTGATAAAATATCACATTTCATGCATAAATCAATCCTAATTTCCATACTAAAAAAATGCATTAATCAACATGCTTTTGTAGAGTTGCTTGTCACATTGACTCCCTTTTTTACCCTTTTAAAAAATAATAATAATTGTTCTAGCTAACAATTTTTAACTTGAAATTGTAAATTACTTATAAATAAATAAAATTTGAATAGTTTATTGTAGGCTATTGATGAAACCTCGTGGTGGTTGTGTCGTGAGACATGGATCTAGTTATAACATGCCCAAGATTGGATGCCAAAGTAGTACTTTTGGAAGTTTCAAAATCCCAAATGTTGACGCCATGTGCCGTGCTTGTCAATTAAGAAAACACGGTGCAGGAATAAGACACATCCATGTGCTAAAAGTCAATGCAAGGACCATTTTAGAATCGTATTTTGATCCAACGGCTCGTGTAATTTAGACACCACTCATCACATCGTTCATCTTCTGTGGTGTTGCCTTCATTCAAGAAGCACAAAGAATATTGACAAACTGTTAACCTTGAACAAGGGTCCCACTTGTTCCACTCGTCATCCAACATCAACCGTTGGAGGTTTTTTCCCAAATGTAGAAGCAAATTAGCAACAAAAGAGCCCCCTTCAAATTTTATTTATTTATTTATTTTATTCTATTCTATTTTTTCCCACCCTAACAATCTAACACGAATCTTTTTTAAAAAAATTATTTAGAGTGACACGTCAATGATAAAACAAACACATACTACTTACATGATACTATTCAAAATTGTCAGATTTTCAAATTTTGTTCGTATGTTACATTATTCAATGTCATCACACAAATTGAAATAACCTATGATCTGTCTAGTTGATTTTGGTCATAGTAATAAAATTGTTAATGCACTTGTTGACCTGGAAACTAAATGAGGCTATTGTAATTTTGGATACACACACAAAGGTCTTCTATCAAATGAGCGTATTGTAATTAATACAAGCACTATTCTTTAGTTATAACATCATAATCTTGATGTTTAATCTTCAAGTAGTTGGTGAATGGCACTTGTTGACCTGACAACTATTGTGTCAGCATGTAACACAACAAAACAAAGCCCCACTTAAGTTGATATTTGTTCAGAAAACACCACTTAGATACCATTGCATATCAACAACCGATTACAATTAATAATAACAACAATTAATATGATAAATGAAAATTAAATGATAAAAGGTGGTTTGGGCTTTTCATACCGACATTTTCCTTTCTTATTTAGGCCTGTGGTCCCTATTGTCTCTGTATCATAAACCAATACACAATAATAATAATAATAATATAATAATAATAATAAAGTATACATTTTTCGTATTTGAAGGATACCAGATGGATAATGTGTGAGAGAAAATGTGAATTCCACTGTATGACTCTGTTTTTTTATAGTTCTGTTTTGTTGAGTTAGAAATGCAACATCTCTCGTGTCAAACCAATCCAAAAGTAGAAAGAATGTTCATTTTTCAATTAAAAAATACGAATGTTACTGCACACATATTTGGTTTAGGGTTTGATTGCACAATGAAGTCTAACTATTCTCCGTTGGTCTATATAAAATTTTTGAACCAAAACAATGAAATTTTTTGATGTAATGGTGCTCACGCCTTTACGTACACGTCATTTATTCGGTATTTTTTGAATTAAGAGGATGTATCATATTTGAAGTAAAAATTAAAAAAATTCACATAACATTATCTAAACCCAAAAATATAGGAAGGTTATAGAAGGTAATTGGTACCAGCATGAAAAATGGGCTTGAGTTTTATGAAATTGGCTTGGGAATACTGTGTTCCCTACATATTATTGTTTAATTATGTCTCAAAATTTATTTGATTGGGAATACTACTAATTGAACAATGGAAAACCATTATTTGGCCAGAAAAGCATGTAATCAGTGTCATGCATCAAAAGCCAATATCAAAGCACCACTGCAATTGAGAGGGGTACATATAACCATAATGATTCTCAAAAGATTACAAAAACCAAAAACACTCAAATGTAAATAAACCTCTTGATGAGAGCCACGTGTCATGATTTGCAGTGGACATTGAATGATCTTATACAAATACAAAACATCTATGTAGGTCCCAAAATAAAATAAATAATATTTGTAGGTCCCATTTCTGTCACACGTGCGAGGTACACAATCAGAATTATTCACTCCCAATATCATTATTTTAACCAATTAGGGGAGAAGTACCGAATCCAGCTAACACCCATGGCCCATTCACACCATAAACTCTTGGGTTGGGGACCCAATCTTGGTCCCACTATACAAGCCTCAGTTGTACTTGCCCTAGTTTGGCTTGAGCTGGTTCTTGTTTTTTCATTGAACAGGCTTACCAGTGTGCATTAGCTAAGCTGGTAGTATAATGCAATTAGAAAGTGGGATAATTCTGTGTGAGTTTGAGCAATGGTATATCCTTCAAATTCGAGGGTTTCCAAGGAAAGTTACGTGAGAAAGGGCATGGCAGCCTGAGTCTCATAACACAACAATACCATGGTATTATGTGGTGAAGCCTACATTTTACTCACACAAATTGCATTCAACATCTTTCAACTCCGAAAGATTTATCTTTAATAGCGAAATTCACTAGGTGTAAAAATATTAAATGAGAATAAAGGTCCCATCATATGTTGATTATAGAGACAATTTGTTTATTTACCTTTCAGATAATTATGTTGGGTTCGGTAGAAAGGAATAAAAAGTTCGATACAGATCATACAAGGAATGAAATGAGAATAAAAATAATATTCTTTACAAATTTTTATCGATCCAAAAATAAGCAGAAGAAATAAGAAAAGACAAGTGAACTATTGTAGAAGCTTCACATATCAATTTGATTATTTGTCTTTCACATTAGAGCATCTCCAGCTGTATGTTAAAATACCATTTTGTGTAAAATATACACCGCCACCTATGATGTATAAATTTTTTCCATCTTCAGCAGTCTATTAACCTACATTGCCACATCACCAATGTGTAAAAAAGTTGTGTACACACCCCAACCCAATGTATTGGGGTCTTCCATTTTTACATGGCCAAATCAACATATTTTCTTTTTCATCCCTCTCTTTCTCATTCCATTAAAGAATTAACCATATATTAAGTAAGTTTGTAAAAATTATGTGGGCCCTGGCATGACACATGGCTGATTATTATTGGGAGATATATTTTTACACAAAAGGTATAAAATAATCGTTTGAGCTAAAGTTAAATAATTCAAAAATTTTGTGTAAATCCATCATGACACATCAGATTTACACACAAAAAATATACACAACGGTTGGAAATGCTTTATTATATTATTTAGTAAGAAAAAATGCCTAAAATTAAAAGAGTAAAGATAGACAACACGAAGGAGAAAACCTAAAAACTCCTGAATCTGACTTGGCTAGGCCTAGTCAGGGAAAAAAAGGAAAGGAAAAAAAGAAAAAGAAAAAATAGAAAACACTTTGCTTCCTCTTTCCCCTCAGAAATCGGAAACTAAAAACTCTCCTTTTTTTTCATTATTAAAATCCTAAATCACAATACATAACAGAGTATAGATGAGCGAACCATTACTGAAGTCCTAAATCGTAATACATAATAAAGTATAGAACACTAGTAATTAAATGTGTGAATATATTGAATAATTCTTATCAAATATTGTGCTTGTTTTATTAAAATCTGTAGTTAAGGAAGTTTTGACTTACTGTTAAAATGATTTGATATATTCAAGCTATATAGTTTTATGAATTTTTACTTTGTGAATTTAGAAATATGATACGGGAAGTAATTTTCGATTTTTAATTATTTTCTTTTACTCCTCCAATTTTGGAGAGTTTTTAGTTTCTTTTTCTTTATTTTTTTCTTTCCTTTTAGTTTTACCACTTAGCCATGCTAGATTCGGAGAGAAAAATAATAAACTCAAATAAAAAAGAGAGAAAAATAATAATTTACGTGCCTAAGCTGTTTATACGAAATAAAGACAAAAATAACAACCATCCTTCTTTATTAGTCTTATTTTTCATTGTTCTTTAACTTATAGTCCAATATTAAGGTAATGGATTTTGCAATTGGATTCAGCTTCCGGATATACTTGTTTGAGTCAATTGCCATACCAAGCAACATTATTGTTGGTATTGCATAATGTGCATAATCTGGTGTCAAAAAAAATGCATAATCAAATTAAAATTTTTTTTTACCCCAAGGATTGTAATTTTGGGGTACTTTTTTAAATAACACAATTCTTCACATGCTCTTTGTGGAAGATAAAAAAAGATAAGACTTGCCTAATCACCTATGAGTATGTCATTCCTACTTACCGCTAACGTGGTCTAATCATATAAATTACAAAATCATAAAAGTAATAAATAAGGACAACCACCTTTTTTGGGGAATAAATTCAACAACCCTCTCTGATTTCCTTATTTGCCTACTCAGCGACGTCGTCCCTACTTACTGCTAACGTGATCCAACTATATGGATTACAAAATTAGAAAAGTGATAAATAAGGACAACAACCTTTTTTTTGGAATAAATTCGCACACTTTCTTTGATTTTCTTATTTATCACTTTTCAAATTTTGTAATTATATATTATTTGTGCATGTGATTAGACCATGTGTGATGAGCTGCCGTGAGTAAACTAGTCTTGTTAATAAAAATATATAATAAAAAATTAAAATTTCTTATTTATTAGCTAACTATGACTCTGTAGCGAAAGCCAAGCGAAGCCAAACCATGCTCACTCACTTCACCTTCAACATGCTTAAATAAATCTCATTGAACTGCAAAAAGCCAAAAAGCTTGATTTTGGGCACATACCGTGCACTAAAACAGTCCATGTCAAACCCAGCTCAGCTCGGCTGTCATGAGTGGTTTGTTGGGGTGGGATTAGGGAAGATGTTGGATGGTCACCAAACTACACATTTCATCTTAATCTTGATTTTGTATTTCAAATCTCATTAACCCACAAACCACCCCTTTTCCTCAAAAAGTAATCCCTTATCTCTCACACACACAGTTAAAAAATCGGCCACAAGCAGCCCCTTTTTTTCCTTAGCGGTTACAAGTGCTTTCCTTTCTTGCTGCACCCAAATTTTTAAGAGAGCTTACCTTATGCGTGAGTTCTGGCTCTTTCTCTCTCTCGTTAAGCATTTAACAGCAATAGTCTCTCTCTTTCTCTCTCTCCTAATTTTGGGTCCATCTCTTCCATTCTCACCTTCTCCCATTAAACTATAATCTAATCCACGTATATATACATATTTATATATATACGAGACCCGCTCCTCTGTGGAGATGTTCTCTCCCCTCCTTCAAGCAAAGTAGCTCTAACTCTCTCTCTCTCTACCTTTATTTTATTCTCTCTTTTGGGTTTCTGGATTTCTGTGCTCTTATAGAGATCTGTTTTAGAATGGGGGTTTTACGAAGTAGTTTCTCCAACTCTAGAGAGCCACAACACAACCCAATTGATTCAAATACTTCCTTATCTAATGATCAGTACTGTGGCGATAATGAGCGAAGAATCGAGACTCTAGTGCGTAAGATGATTTGGGAATTTGGGTTGGGCTGTTTTCTTCCACCTCGCCTTCGACGGCGCAGCCCCGGTCGAGATCAGAGAGAGGGTGAGAAGAATAGCAGCAATTTGGAGAACAACAAGGCATGGTTGCTTGCGGAGTCTGGTGGGTGTGGTCCAGAACTGACCAATGCCGATCCACAATCAGTTCACTCCTCTTTCAGGCTCACTATCTGCTCTCAAGTAGAGCTTGAATCAATGAATGTGACCAATCCTTCCTCTGCAACAGTTCTGATGGTGAATTTGGACAATGGGTTGAACGAATCTCGATCTTCAGAACTAAAATGGCGAAGAATTGAGTCACTCGAGAGGACTATCTCTCCTGTGGCTCATACCTTGATTAGGTTCGGCTATGCTGAAATTCTCTCAGCCACTCACAATTTTTCTAAAGGTATTCAATTGGGTTTTGTTGTTTTAGACCATTTTTTTTTTAATTCTTTGCATGTATTTGTAATCAATTTGTGTTGTATTGGCCAGGCAGGGTTTTGGGTAGAGGTGCTCTGAGCTGGGTTTTTAGGGGGAGAGTGGGGTTTTTGAGAACTTCTGTGGCGATTAAGCGGTTGGATAAGGAAGATAAGGAGTCTCCAAAGGCATTTTGTAGAGAATTGATGATAGCTAGTTCTCTCCATAACCCAAACATTGTTCCTCTTTTGGGTTTCTGTATTGATCCTGAGGAGGGTTTGTTTTTGGTGTATAAGTATGTATCCGGCGGAAGCTTAGAACGATACTTGCACGGTATGAATCTTTTTCCTTTGAATTTGGAATTTATTTCAGTTTTGATGAATCTGAGTGATCTTACATGTACCCATTTGCAGAGAAGAGGAGGGGAGTAAAGGGTGGTTCATCACTTCCTTGGTCTGTGAGGTATAAGGTTGCTGTTGGAATTGCGGAGGCAATTTGTTATTTACACAATGGAACTGAAAGATGTGTTGTTCATAGAGACATTAAGCCCTCAAACATCCTTCTTTCTTCCAAGAAAACACCTAAGGTGAGAGAGGGATAGGTTCTTGTACCTTGTTCAACTTTCTTTTCTTTTTATTTTTCTAATTTTATTTTTAATTTCTTTCCTGTTTAGATGAATCATATGAACATGTATTGGATATTTTGACCAGCACCAATTATTTTGATCAATCTTTTTCGTATTTGAAATTTTTCAATGGTATTTTGTAGTTATGTGACTTTGGATTAGCTACATGGACTCCTGCACCTTCGGTACCTTTCCTTTGCAAAACTGTCAAAGGAACATTTGGGTATGATCTTCATTCCGAAGAAAACTTCTAATAGTTAAAAGCTTGAAGCATACGAAAGAAAATCATCTATAATTTTCTTGTTCAATATATATATATATATATAAATTACTGAGAATTTTAATTATTGTGCAGTTATTTGGCTCCTGAATATTTCCAGCATGGGAAAGTATCCGATAAAACGGATGTTTATGCTTTTGGCGTGGTCTTATTAGAACTAATAAGTGGACGGAAGCCTATTGAAGCAAAGAGAGGACCAGGGGAGGAGAACTTGGTTGTGTGGGTACGTAACTGTTTTAAATTTTAGTTAACTCTGCTTCAATTCCATTAACCTTCTGATAGTTGAATCAGTGGTCCTCCCAACCTTCAGAAAATAAAAATGTTAGTTCAACTCAGCTTCAATTTCATTAACTTTCAGAAAAGAAAAATATTCCCTTTATATACTCGATGATAACCAAAATGAAAGAAAACCAGTATTCTCAATCCCATTACATTTTTATCAGTGAATACTTTTCAAGGCAATGGGTTATACCCATCATTCCATAATAGCTAATAATATATGAAACATATACATCTCATTCAAAAAAAAAAAAAAAAATCTTCCTTCTTTTTTTTTTTTTTTTTTTGGTGATAACATTTCTAGCCTAAAGTTCACTAATGTATTTTTTTAGGATGAAGGGGAATAGATGGAAACGTGTGCATCAGTGTATTGTATATATCAGCATAGATTCGTTACTTAAATTCTAGACTTAACTATGTAAGTATTTTATTTATCAAAAAAAGAAAGAAAAACCCCTATGTAAGTATTTCTTAGAATTTGTGAACTTTTGAAACCATTTGGGAATGCAGCGTTAATAATGCACTATTGTTAACAAGAATTTAAATGAATTAATTTGGTTTTATTTTTATTTTTTTTGCTGTTGAAATAAATTTTAAAGACTCAAAAAATTACATTATTAGAATTTTATACTATCATTTTCAGTGATGATTCTTTTCCTATCTAACGTTTTTTTTACGTCAATGACTCTAATGGTGTGGATTTGTGCCTTCAAACAGTACAATGAACAATAGTTTCAATCATAATTTAGTTAAGAACTGACAGCTAGACCTGATTTTGTTATTTGACTTTAAGTAGATAATTGAGATAATACAGTGTTTGGCATAGGGAAAGCAATTCTCCAAGGTGAATGTGCCTTGATTTTATTTTTATTGAAGTAAATGAAGCCTTAAATTCGAGGTTGTTGTTTCCTTTTCTATGCTCCATGTGAAAAATAAGTGCCACCCAAGTAGTATTCACCAACGGTTAACACAAGGAGTTTGAACTAAATCTCTAAATTGAAGTCTTCTTAGTGCCAACCTCATCAAATAAAATCTTGACTGGAGGATTCAAATTATTGGTTCCAAATGTTGATTTGGAGAATTTCAAGATCTATAATGATGTGGGTAATAAAAGGTAGGAAAATCAAATGGTTTAGAGTGCATTGTTTTCTGTTGGTCAAATAGGACTGAGTGAACCAACAATGGCATAATTTTTGTTGTAACAGGATCACTGACTTTTTGTTAATTTGGGCTACAATATGACTGAAGGTGGCTAAGAGAGTATTGGAAAAGGATATCTAAATTTTTTTGGCCTGTGCTTCTGCCAAACATAGTTGTGGAAGTGAAAATACTAAACACAAAAGTTCCTTTCTTTTGCAGGCAAAGCCATTATTGCAGCAAGGAGAGATTGAAAGGTTGCTCGATTCACAGCTTAAATTCACGCCAAAAAACTCAAATCAGATAGCCCGGATGGTTCAAGCTGCATCTGCTTGCATAAATAGCGAAGAATCTCGAAGACCAGGAATTGATGAGATTATAGGAATACTGAGAGGAGAGGAACCTAATTGCTCTAACAGGAAGAAGTCCAGCTTTCCCGGTAGTGGTTTTGTTATAGATTGTTATCCTCAACTACAACGGACAAGAAGCGAGATGAGGAGTCATTTAGCTTTGGCCATGCTAGGTGTTTCAGAGTTTGAAGATGATGATCACCTTTATAGTCGTTGAAACACAAATACATTGAACTATTTTGATCTTTTTGCCTTACTCCTTTTAAATGTTGCTTTGCTTATAGAGAGTGGTGAACTGAAAAGAGTTTTGAAATTGTACAGAGAAAAAGGTTTCTGATGGGCAATTGCATATGTACATATTTCCATTTCTGTGTCCCTGCTTTTAGAGTGAATGGAAACATAGAATACATGTAGCCGACCCTAAGTAATTGGGAAGAAGGCTTTATTGTTGTGGTCGTCGTCCTGCTTTGGGAGTGAAGGATTGAAGTAGATTTTCATTTTTACTCTGATAATATTGCTGAATGTCTTTGATGGTGATCTTGTCAACTCATGTTCTTCTAGGTGACACAATAATGCGCATGGTTGCTCTGTATGTATTGCATGTTTGTATGGAAGCTACGCTGAATAAGGAAATGCAATGCAAATACATTAAATACTTATTTTGATTGATTGACACTCATTGTCTCCAATACATGTGTCTATGCACATATAAGTGATATGAATATGATTAAACATAAAATGAACCATATATTGCAATTTTAGATGCTAGTGCAAACATTTTGAATGTAACCAAAGCTCTGTTCTCTCTCAAATGAGGTTGTTGAACCATCATGGAATATAAGTATTATTTTACCTAATCCTATTCAAGTGGTACTATTTTAGTGACTTTATTTATTTATTTCATTTTTTTTTTTTTACTTTTATTGATTGGCTTTACAGTGGTCCAAAGGCAAATTCTCAAACTTGAAACGAAGAACGTGGTCTTCCCAGATCTTTCTAACTTTCTTTTAGTAATAAAATCAAGAGACCAATATTTATATTAAAAGAATGACCAACCAGACATATATTATGTTTGGAGCATAAATACATTGCTCATATAATGAATCAAGAGGCCAATATTTATATGATAAGAATGACCAACCAGACACAACTCCATGGTTGGGGCATAAATATTACAGAACAGGCAGATAACGTAGTAGTGAGAATTTTCAATGCAATCAGGGGTTGATGGTGACCATTTAGCAACCCTTGTGTTAACTGACAACAATTTCAAATACAGCAGACATATATGCATGCGTACATATATATATATATATATATATAAATGATATATGGAGATTACAGTTAAGCTGTCAAGCTTCTATTATGAGGGAAAAAGATTGACCCATATGACTTGTGGGCCTTAGATTTAACGTCAGACATAGACAGACCTCTTGGATTAAGTGATAGTGCTGAGCAGCAAACTTGATGAAACTATTTATTTTTTAATCACAATTAATAACCTAAAACATATTTTTTAGGTATGACAATTTATTAAAAAGCCCAAACCATCTTTTTTTCATTTAAAAATTATGAAACCAGTGAATGCACTCTCAAATGTGCTTTGGGCTGGATGGCTTATGATGGTGATGGTGATTTTACTTGGGATTTTGCTTGACCTGCTTCAATTGGTATTGCAAGATTTGTCTTCTAAAGGTTATTTGATATTCTTCTCAGCTGGTTTAAAATATCCTAAAGTTCTGTTTTTCAATATATATATATATTTATATATTTCACGAGGAAGGCCTTTATCATACAACAAACAATTACCGGGAAAATAAAAAATAAAAAATAAAATCAACAGAAAAATCCATGGACGGAATGGAATATAAGGGCATGAGAAATCAATTTTAGAAACCTGAAGGCTTTATAATATGGCTTTGTTAGTTTGGCAATGGTGCAGAATTAGGCACTCCACTGACATTAAATGTCGCTGATCTATTTAATTTCACAGCGGTTAAAAGACCCCAAGTTGGTCACATTATGACTGCCGTAGCTTCTGAGTGGACCATATGCCTGCCTAGAATGTGACATACAAAAAAATTGCATTTAATTTCTAAAATGTTTTTACATAAATATGACTACATATGAGATTTATAATGAGTGGAGAAAAAAGAACCGAGTAGTAGGAAACAGGATATACCAGTTGGGTTAGGGTTTCAAAAAGCTGCAATAACTGAACCAAACACCATTGGATCAATCACAAACAGTTGTAGACAAGATAGCTAGACATGGGAATTCAAACTAAGCTTAGGTTTCGACTTTCCAAAAACTTCAGCTCAGAATATTTGGCACTTACAGCTCTGATGCCAAATATAGATCATAATAAAACACAAATAGAGGTGCAACACCCGAGAGAAACAGATTTCAAACAACTGTTAACTGGAAGAAACAAGATCCCATTGCAACGACAAAATTGGTTTCTAATGAACTACACCAATACAGAGCATCACACAACTATCACCTTCTACGGTAGAAAACAAGCTCAGTGCAGAACCATGCAATCTTGAGGTAAATGTGAGGCAACTTGAGATGCGTGAGGATTGTGTAGAGATTCCTCCTCACTCATTCTGTTTTCCTCAGACCCCAACTCCTGCAAACCAGCTGCTTCCAAGATATAGGACTTCACCTCTTCAAACCTCGCCTCTGACAGAGAAACCTCAGCAAGAAGTCTCCACGCATACTCCTCTGATGCATCGTTGTAGTCCTTCCTTCTCTTTAGTACCATATGTCCACTGATCTCCCACACAGCAGGGTTCACCTGAGCATCCAAGAGTTCCTGGTTGATTTCTCCTAGAGCTTGTTTTTCCGCATAGCACTGTTCCATTCATCCAGAAGCAGTTGATCAATTTTCTTATGAGAAGGTGTAGCAAGAAAATATCAAATAACACACTTCCAAGAGAATATTAACAGTCCCCCTCCCTCACAAATGCATATTTGTAATTGTAAATTTTATAACAGCACTCCAAAGAAATGAGGGTGAGTGTGTCCATGTGTTTCTTACCTACCAAATAATAAAATAAAAATTTACCTGAGGGAACAAAAAGATTCTTTTCCCACAACCAGCAATGAGTACATTGAAAGGAATGTTTTTCTTTTGAAGGCAAATGCAAGAATTGGCAACAACTTCAGATAAATCTTGAATTGTATTTCCGCCCTCAAAAACAAGACCTTGCACAGGATAATCCAACAACCGTGAAATCTTAACTTCAATATCGGCTAGTCCATTGCCTGTCATTATTTTTTGAGTTGGAGCTTTCTCAACAGGAAAGGGCGCTGATAAATAATATGCCTGCAATCAATAATATAGAATTCAATTATGACTGATAACAAACAAAAATATCAGAAATCACTAATGCCATCAACCATATTGCAGAAGGAACTAGTGAGTTATAAACTACCTGAAAGTGGAGGTGATTAATAGTGGCAAAGCCACCCAAGCTATTATAACCCAATCTGAAGAAGGGATCTGCAGCTTCTTTAGCCATATGAAGGGCAAGCAAGAAGCTGGCATGATCAATCCTCTGAGGCAAGCAGTCAAGAACACGGGGAATCAAAAGCACGTGTCCATACTCAATTGGGCTCACCTGATAATAAAAATTAGAACACCTTAGCTACCAAATAAAATCCAAATATTGATGTGAGTGAGTGCAACAACCTCAGAGATCAAGGAAAAACATCAAATGGTCTTACATTAATAGCAACAACACTTGGCGAATTCACATCAGCATTTACTGGCATGCTGGTGAAGAAAAGGGAGTTGTTGGCTTCACTTGGTTCAAACCTAAAAAGCACTTCTTCCTGGCCAACTTTGGTAAAATTAAACTTGTTCTCATCAAAAGGTTGAAGAACCCTGTCGACCCGAAATTCAGTCGGTCTTTTCTTCAGGTGGCGCCCCTCGTTCAGCTGCGCAATAAATCCATATTTTCCAGCAAGAACCTTTGTCTCACAGGTGGTTACATCATATCGAAACAGCCCTCGGCTCACCCTGTCCTCCCACTGCCCCAATAAAAGATTGTTCAAGAAAGTTATCGGTGAACATCCATCAGAAGAACTCACAACATCGTAATCAACTGGCTTATCTTCATCTTTCTTGAATGCATATAAAGGAAGCTTCGACACTGAAACCATCAATACATACCATATAAGAAATAGTAAGAAAACAGGATATTTGGAGTGTAAATATATTTAAAAGGAGTGTCTAGGATTTGTGACCTGGCAAAGCTAGGAAAAAATACACTAAATAAAAATCCTAATTTAAAATTTCAAACAAAAATCATACACTCGATTTTTCAATTGTAAATCTATGGAGAGGAATAGAAGATCGTTTGATGGGGTAAAGACTCCTTGGGGGGTGTTTAGATATTCTATGCTTAGTTCTTATTTTTGTTGGGTTCCAGGTTCCCATTGTTAATCAATGGAGATTCTTTTTTCTTTTGTGGATAGCTTGAGGCTATGGTTTTTGTGCAGTTGTTTGGGCTGCATCCCCCTTTTGGGTGCTCTTCAATGAATTCTTATTTATAAAAAATAAAAATACACTTGATTTTTCAATCTCCAGACAACTCCATCCTAATACTAATAAATATATTTGGCTAGTGGATTGGTGTAACGGACCGGGTGCTTCGCGGTCCAACCCAAAAGCTTAAGCTATAAGGTGGTGCTAACGAATGATAGAATCGGGATTCTAAGTCAGATTGATGAGGGGTCCTGTAACGACCCAAAATTTTAAACATTAATGCTCCGTTTGTTTCGACGTAAAATATTTTATTTGAAAAATATTTTTCTTTTTCGGGTAAAATATTCTTTTATTTTTACTTTGTCAGTGTTTGGCAAATGTCTACGTCGAAGTTGAGGTCAAGTCCATCGGGCACGGTATGTAAAATAACTTGTCGAAAATTGATGAATAAATTATTTTTGTTAAATTTTAATTTTTTTTTTCTTCGTAAATATTTTACAACAACCAAACAGCAGAAAATAAAAAAAATAGTTTCTGAAAAATATTTTACGTCCAAACAAACAGAGCCTAATAATCCTCAATTACATCCAAAAATCTCCTAGGAGTCGGTACCATTGTGCTTTCACACAATTTGGTTGAAAAATGAATTTACCATGAATTTATGAAGTTGGAGTCATCTTGCATTTACTGTCTCATAATGCTCTGCATGTGTTTTCATTATCCAAATTCTAAAGTATATGATGGACAATTTTGATGCCCCCCCCTCCTTTTATGTGCTTACTCAATTAGCTCTGGGAGTTGTATTAGTCACTCCTTACCAAGCAAGTGGTCGCTCACCCCTTTTTAACAATTTCAGGAAATGGACCAATTGTGGAGGAGCTTGTGTTACAGATCTATTTTGCCACTTCAGAGATTATTTTGGACATGTATTTTTTTAGTGTTGATCTATGTATATTAAGGATATTTGATATGGTCCTAGGAGAATTTTGGATGTAATTGAGGATTATTAATGTTTAAATTTTTGGGTCGTTACAGGTCCATAGGATAGGAATCGTAGGATCGGACTGAGAATCATAAGATTCAATAAAACTATTAGAAAAGTAATTCAAACTAACTTTCTAAATCAAAAATTTTCGATATAAGTAAATAATAAAGCTAAATAACCAAATGAGACACTCTAGCAAAATCAACTAACATTAAAAGATACTAAGACACATGACAAACACTCAAAATTAATATCTTGATTTCAAAAAATAAAAATAAATAGCATAACAATAAAGCAAAATCTCAGAGAAGAAATTAAATCCAAGCCTAGCATATAGAGAAAGTACAATTTAGTTGCCTAATTGTCCAAGCAATTTGCTTGAAAAGTTTACTTTTTCGTTAGAAAAAAAGGGAACAAAACAGAGATAGAAAGAGCAATAGAAAAAATGAAAACTTTCTTTATATTTGTTTAAGCATTGACAAAGAATAATAGGTGGAAAAATAAAATTCTTTATGTTCCTTGCACTGAAAAGGAAAGAAAAGAGAAATTAAGAAGAATAAAACAAAATAAAGGAAATTTTTGAAATTTTAGACCATTCCTTTGAAATTCAGAGTTTGATAGTCCGTTTCTTTGTTTTTTTTTTTAACTTTAATTTTTTAATGTAATTAGGCTAAAGAATTGGACTTTATATTTAAAATGATTAAATTTATTAGTCCAAAACTAATTGTAGGCCCAAATAAATTCAGAAGAAGAACAAAATAACACAATTTAGTAGAATCGATAGAATCGTAAGATCCTATGAAATTGTATTATCCTACTTCCGATTCTATAGATTCTACTAAGATTTTACTTCCCAGAGATTTTAGATGGGATCGGGATCGGGATCGGGGTCGGGGTCGGGGTCGGGATCGGGATCGGTTTGGCAATTTGGGATTGTGAAATCGTAAGATTCTAATATCTAGAATCGGGATTTTAACAACTATAGTAAAGATCATGTATATAGCCATATATAAATACATGCACTTTTTCACACAATAATCATGTTTAAACAAGGGTGAAACAACAAATTACTTACAAGGATTACACAATTTAGACAAACCCTAGACCATACAAAGTGCACATAGTCCATAAAACACATGCTTCATTCACAATTAACCATGATTTTTTTTTTTTTTTTTTGATAAGTCACAATTAACCATGTATATCATCTTTGGTACAAGTATTCATCTAGAATTAGTAATACAACATGGAATTTGACACTTCAACAGTCAAACTCTCACATTTAGCATATCATCCATACTCCTCGCATGTAATATCGTGTTAAACATACAATTTATTCACTATAACTTACGAAAACGTGGGTGGGTTAAGCACCCCTACCTCAATTGGAATGAAAATACCAATTACCACCGAAATGATAACGCTCCAAATTTTCAGTCCGCAAAAACAGATTTTTCAGCTTGTTACCTTCAACTTTGACAATTCATAGCAAATTCAATTCTTAAGTAAATTGAATGATTTCAAAGGCCATTGAAAGCTTAAACACTATACTTTGAAAATATCAATTTAGTTTAACCAAATCCTTTCCCGATTGAAACAGTTTTGACACAAAAATTTGAAGAAAATTCTGCCCAGAAAACAGATTTTCAACACATAGCTTCCAACTTTGAAAATTCATGGAAAATTCAATTCTCATCCAAATTGGGTGAATCCAAAAGTCAATTGAAAGTTTAAAGACTATAGTTTAAAAATATAAATTTATTTTACCAAAATACCTTACCATTTAAAACAGTTTTGATGAGAAAGGTCGAAGAAATTCTGCCCCCTAAGCAGAATTTCCAGCAAGATGACTCCAACTTCCTAAATTCATTTTTCAACCAAATTGTGTAAAACCAAGTCTCAATGGAAGATAATTGACTATAATCATGCTGAAATTTTAGTTTGGCAAGATTCCTTACCAATTAAAACAGTTTTGATGAAAAAGGTTCAGAATAATTCAGTTCATAAAACAAAATTTCAGCAACTAGCTTCCAACTTAAAAAATTTATATCTAATTCATTTTAAATCCAAATTGCATGACACCAAAAACTAAATGGAAGTTAATTGACCATATTTTCTTACAATCAATTCATCTCAATAAGATTAATTTCGGATTTAAATGATTTTGGGCAGAATATAAGTCCTATTCTTAAAAAAAAATATTTAAGTATCCTTGACATCAAATAATCACATAAAAACACCTGGATAACATAGATCAAGAGGTTAGCATAATCATACCCAGACCAAAGTTCTCCAAATCCGAATTTTTCTTCTATAGGAATGGAGAGGGGAAGAAGGGGAACAAACTGCCCTTCTTTGGCTTCCTCCAAATCCTAACTTTACAAATCACCCGAAACTCCAAGTTACTCCAAATGCGAAATAAAAAGAGGGGTTTTGTTGCTCTTGTAGTCCCCGACGTTTTTCTCTTGTATGGTGAGTTGAAAATCACAAGGGAATGGGAAGGAAACCAAGCTTGAAAACTTGAAGGAGGAGGACAACAATGGAGGAAAGAGGAAGAAGGAGAGATCCGGCCAAACAGGGAGAGAAAATATGATTTTTCTCTCTCTCAACATATATATAATCTACCACAAAACTATGCCATAATTACGTCATTCAACCCAAATGTTTCTAAGTAATTACTCCCTTCCTCCGAGCAACTTTCACTTAAATACTCTAAGACAGGTGGTTACTCCGTTCAAAGAGTCATACTTTAGTGGCTGGATTTTGGGAACGAAATCCCTTTAAGGTGGGTGGGAAGGTTGTAGTGACCTGGGATATTTTTTTTAATATTAATATTACTGATTATTATTTTATTATTCTATTTAAATGACTTCGTTACGGGTGGGAGTTGATTTTTGTCATAAGGATTTGGTCCTTAAGTTTTTGGAGTTGTTATTTCCATGCCGAGTATTACCGGAGGTAATTCTTTTCTTAGTCCAGTTCATTTATCTTGGTTCGGGTCATTTGAGTCCGGGTTGACTCAAGTATTCCAGAATTTACGGGGACCTAATGAAGAGTCATTGAAAACTTAATTGATATATTTGCGATGGAATGTTGCCTTAGAGTATTTAAGTGAAAGTTGCTTGGAGGAAGGGAGTATTTACTTGGAAATATTTGGGTTGAATGACGTAATTATGGCATAGTTTTGTGGTAGATTATATATATGTTGAGAGAGAAAAATCATATTTTCTCCCTGTTTGACCGGATCTCTCCTTCTTCCTCTTTCCTCCATTGTTGTCTTCCTCCTTCAAGCTTTCAAGCTTGGTTTCCTTCCCCTTCCCTTGTGATTTTCAACTCACCATAGAATAGAAAAACGCCAGGGACTACAAGGGCAACAACTCTTTTTATTTCGCATTTCGAGTAATTTAGAGTTTCGGGTAATTTGTAAAGTTAAGATTTGGAGGAAGCCATAGAAGGGCAGCTTGTTCCCCTCCTTCCCCTCTTCATTCCTATGGAAGAAAATTTCGGATTTGGAGAACTTTGGTCCGGTGGGATTTGGGGGGATTTTACTCTTCTTAAGGTATGATTATGCTAATCCCTTGATCTATGTTATCCAAGTGTTTTTATGTGATTATTTAATGTCAAGTATACTTTAAAAATAAAATTAAAATTAAAATTAAAAAAATTAAGAATAGAAGGACTTATATTCTGCCCAAAATCATTTATATCTGAAATTAATCTTATTGGGGTGAATTGATTTTACGAAAATATGGTCAATTAGCTTCCATTTAGTTTTGGTTTCATGCAATTTGGATTTAAAATGAATTAGATATGAATTTTTGAAGTTGAAAGCAAGCTGCTGAAATTTTGTTTTGAGAACTGAATTATTCGAAACATTTTACATCAAAACTGTTTTAATTGATAAGGAGTCTTGCCAAACCAAAATTTCAACATGATTATATAGTCAATTATCTTCCATTGAGACTTGGTTTCACACAATTTGGTTGAAAATTGAATTTACTATGAATTTATGAAGTTGGAGTCATCTTGCATTTACCGTCTCATAATACATTGCATGCGTTTTCTTTATCCAAATTCTAAAGTATATGATGGAGAATTTTGATGTGTTTTGAAATTCCTTACCATGATCCCTCTTCATTCCTTTCCCCTCCTTTATGTGCTTACTCAATTAGCTCTAGGAGTTGTGTGTTAATCACTCCTTACTCCTTACTGAGCAAGTGGTCGCTCACCCCTTATTTAACAATTTCAGGAAAAGGACCGATTGTGGAGGAGCTTGTGTTGCAGATCTATTTTGCCTCTTTGGAGATTATTTTGGGCATGTATTTTTTTAGTGTTGATCTATGTATATTGAGGATGTTTGATGTAATTGATATGGTCCTGGGAGATTTTTGGATGTAATTGAGGATTATTAATGTTTAAATTTTTGGTTCGGTACAGGTCCATGGGATCGGATCGAGAATCGTAAGATTCTATAAAATTATTAGAAAAGTAATTCAAACTAACTTTCTAAATCAAATACTTTCGATATAAGTAGAGAATAAGACTAAATAACCAAATGAGACACTCTAGCAAAATCAACTAACATTAAAATATACTAAGACACATGACAAACACTTAAAATTAAAATCTCGATTTCAAAAAAAAAAAAAAAAAATAGCATAACAATTAAGCAAAATCTCATAGAAGAAATTAAAGCCAAGCCTAGCATATAGAGAAAAGTACAATTTAGTTGTCTAATTGTCGGTGCAATTTACTTGAAAAGTTTACTTTTTCGTTAAAAAAAAAAAAAGAAACAAAACAAAGATAGAAAGAACAACAGAAAAAATGAAGTCTTTCTTTATATTTGTTTCAGAATTGACAAAGAATAATAGGTGGAAAAATAAAACTCTTTATGTTCCTTGCACTGAAAAAGAAAGAAAAGATAAATTAAGAAGAATAAAACAAAATAAAGGAAATTTTAGACTATAACTTTGAAATTCAAAGTTTGATCGTCTATACATTTTTTTTTTTTAACTTTAATTTTTTAATGTAATTAGGCTAAAGAGTTGGACTTTATATTTAACATGATTAAATTTATTTGTCAAAAACTAATTGTAGACCCAAATAAATTCAAAAGAAGAACAAAATAACACAATTTAGTAGAATCGTAAGATCTTATGAGATTCTATGATCCTACTTCCGATTCTATAGATTCTACTAAGATTCTACTTCCCAGAGATTTTAGAGGGGATCGGGATCGATTTGGCAATTTGGGATTGTAGAATCGTAAGATTCTAAGATCTAGAATCGGGATTTAACAACTATGGTGCTAACACCCAACCCATATATACCCATTGCGCTTCCCATCCAGATCCGATGTGAGACACCTGTAATATTCTCCCCCATCCGAACTCGCAACGCCCCCATTGCTGTCAGGCCACCCTGCCTACCCAGGTGGAGACTCAGAACTCCTCCAAGCCGGGAGTTTGGTGTGATCAGTTTGGCAATTTGAGATTGTAGAATCGTAAGATTCTAAGATCTAAAATCAGGATTTTAACAACTATGATATTAACACCAACCCATATATACCCATTTCGCTTCCCATCCGGATCCAATGTGAGACACCTGTAACAATTTCCCTCGTCCGAACTCGCAATGCCCTCGTTACTGTCAGGCCACCCTGCCTACCCGGGTGGAGACTCAGAACTCCTCCGGGCCGGGAGTTTGGTGTGACACCGGATAAAGGACTGGGTTTGGCTCTGATACCAATTGTAACAGGCGGGTACTTCGCGGTCCGACCCAAAATCTTAAGCTATTAGGTGGTGCTAACATCCAATCCATAAATACCCATTTCACTTCCCATCCAAATCCGATGTGTGACACCTCTAACAATTAGCCTACTAAGAGGAGCTTTTTGAGGCCTTTAAACGGTCTTCCAAGCCCAAGAATCACTCGTATGATACGGGCATGTTGTGAATACTCGTATCAAGTAATCTTTGCTATTTTTGAGGAGTTAGATAGAGGAGGGATTATGGATTTGTAGAGTTTGTTGAGTGCTCTTCCATTTCTATTCACGTATCCTTCTCTAATTTCATGCAAGACCCATTGCTCATATAAAACTATAATCTGTAACAAACTGAAATTGATACACTAGCTACAAGCACGTGCTTTTGGTAGCACAAATGACACTACCTTGAGCAACATGATCTCTATTTGAAGGTTTTGAAGTAACTTGGCATTTTAGCATTAAAATTGCATATAGCAGAGGTTGATCTTTTCAGGCAAGGCTCATGGTTGCTTTCTCAATTATCACACAAGGATCATCATAAGTTCTCCGTGCTGATAATTAATAACTACAACGCTAAAGAACTTCTAATTCTCAAAGCTTCACAACTACTCTCTCTCAATTCATATCACAAAACGACATGTTAATCTTCTTATTCAGAGTCCAAAACTATATGAAACTTCTACTAAATGAAGTTATCTATGAGGATATCAACTACAATTTTCAAAGTACTTCAAAATCTTGAAGCATCACAACCAATTCTCATCTCTGTCAATTTCTTTCACATGAGAGCAAGTTTATTTCTCCATCTGCAAGTTCTTTAAACAATTTTGACGTTCTTTCAGCTCCTTTACCAGATTACACGCAAATCACTGTTTCAACTGGAGCTAATTTTTGTGTCCATCTGAAAAAAAGTTTCCGACTTTCACGTTCACAATGAACCAAGAAAATATTTAATTAGTGACTTCCATGTTCACAATGAACCATGAAAATTATGTGGTGATTATTTCCATATATATATTTTTTCCTTCTTATCTTCCATTGGTTGCAAGTAGAAGGCAAAACAAACAGTACAATAACTCTAAAATTTAATGTTCTTTAAAACTGTGCTCGACCAAATTGTCTGTATAAAAGCCTTTAAATTCACGTTTTGAAGTTTACATGGTACTTGATGCTTGGGATATGGCATCCAACTCCCTAAAATTATCATGGTCAATCTACAAATTCTTTATATTAAGTTTCAGCAAAAATACGTATTCATAGTTTCATACTCCTTCAGTGTGAATTGGGTTTGTACGGTTATATTTCTTTTCCAAGTTCAGTATTGAATTAAAGTATTCATAGGTTTATTTAGGGGTAAAAAAAAAAAAAAACTTAAGTTCTCATAAATATTATTTGTGTCATGTGCTATATATGTTTTCATGTTCACAATATATGATTGGAAACTAATTTATTTTTCTTCAAATAATATTGATATATTTATGTTTTATTTTATAAGTAATATATATTTATGGTCTTTGGGACTTGTTTTACATATTTATGTGTCTTCTTTTTATTAGTATAAAGGGTTCTGGCGTCATCTACATCATCAAATTAAATATGTTTAATAGGGTTTCCGCCTCAAAGATCTAAGCCGTAACCAACATGATAATGGTTGCCAAATTTTTCTTTTAAATGTGGATTTCTTCAAAAAAGCAAATTGAAGCCACACCAATAACAAAACCAGTGCTAATTATGAGTTTGTTTTCTTTTGCTCTGCATGTTTTCTATATGGTTAAATATAAATTTATTTGATCAAATCAAATGTAATGTAGGAAAATTTATTTGATCAAATCAAATTACATAATTCAAATATAAATGTAAATAAACGTACCAGGTAAGCAGCACTTGCCGAGACAATTGCGTCCACAACCCAAAGATCGAGTATGAGTTTGGATATCTTCTGAAACATCCTCTTGATAGTTGGAAACAACAGTAGCGACCCTTTTTATAGTCAACATATTCTCTTCTTTTGTATATATTAATATATGGAATCAAAAATGTTAAAAAATAATACTACGTAATATATATACAATTAGGGTTAAGAACAGAGGGAAAGGTGGTGGTGGTGGCCGCCGCCGCCGGCGAGGAAGAGGAGATCGGAAGGGCAACCGCCTTCGGAAGGAAGGGCACCCCTGCCGCCGTGGGGTGAAGGTGTCCGCAGTTTATCGGCCGCAATGTTAACTCTTTTCTCGACGTGTCTCAGGATTAGGGTTCTTGATGGCCTCGGTGGAAGATGATCCAGCAACATAAAGGATTCGATTTCAGTTGAAGCCGTGATTTGATATGAATGGAAATGGAAATCGGAAGAAATTGCTTCGATGTACACGCACAACCGACTTCTTCAATTGTACGTGTTTGATGTGTACTCTCTAATTAGGGTTTTCTATTCTCCGATTGCTTCACTCCTTCTCTGATTTGGTTTTTGACATGAATAGGCAAAAAAGAAAGGTTGGTTGAGGTTTAAATAGTTGTTTGACGGTCAATTACGAATAATCGTACTCAATAATTAACCCTGTATTGTTTGCAAGTTAATTAGTGGTGACGCGTGGCTTAGGAAGCACGCACAGTAAAGAAGGAATAACAGGTGAACATCATCATTATTATTATTATTATTTTTTTTAAAAAAAATTTATATAATTTGACAAGGAATTCATCCACATCGTTCTGTTACTTTGAAGACGACTCGGCACAACCACATGTCATCACATTTTTTTGTTTTTTTTTTTTTAATCGCCGAACATTTAAAATTTAGTATCAGATTTTTTTATCAATTTTTTTTTGGAGAACTATGATAGTTCAAGATTTTTTTGTTCTTATCACGTCACTTAATTAGGTAATTTTATGAATTATTTATTAATAAGTGGGTATCATTTGAAAATGTTGGATACATCAAAAAGATTTTTTTTTTTTTTTTACACTAAAATAAATTATATTTTCTTGGTAATAACAGGCATAATATATTATTAATAGCAGTACTCAATATAATGTATTAGTAATATATATTTATATTTTTTTTTTTAACTTTGGCCAGAAAATACACTCACACCTACTTATTCTGTATTGTTAAATTAAATAGAAAATATATCAAACACACACAACAATAAGGATTCACAAATTTTTATTAAGTTCACTCAAAAATTAGGGTTACATTACAAAAATTAGGGTTGTGTTGTTCAAGGGTTATAGGGATTTCATTATGATGATTGTTGAGGGTGAAATTCACGCGATTCGATACGACACCGTTTTCCTGCAAGGAAGAGAAGAGAAGAGAAGATCGATGAACCTTGATAGCACCGGTATGGTGCCTGCCAAGAGCTCTCCGACGATCAAGTTAGTCCCCGGAGGTCTAAAAAGAAGACAGGGATTTAATAATAGTTTTTTCATTGTAACTTATTCCCAAGTCGTCTTCTTATTTATCGTCACTTCCCTTATTCTTGATGAAGGAATCTCATAATCCTTATCACATGGAACTTATCACATGGAAATCTTATCCTTGATAAGATTTGTTATTATCCCATGAAATTTATCCAATGGAAATCGTTATCCTTCATAACGAAATATTATCTTTCGAAAGTAGAAGAGATTTGGCATCTGGTCAATACTTAGTTGCCTCTATCATTAGATCAAAATAGGTTAGGTTTATTTTTCCCTATCAGTTGCCCCCCATTCCCAAGTTTGCTCGTCTAGCTTTGGGATTTTTTTTTTTTTTGCCCTGGGAACAGTACCCACAGGTACTATTCCCGCGATACTGTTCAAATGAACAGTAAATACTTTTTCTTTTCTTTTTTTCCCTTGCCCTGGGAACAGTACCCGCGGGTACTGTTCACACGAACAGTAACTTCCTTTTTCTTTTCCTTTTTCTTGCCTTGGGAACAGTACCCTCAGGTACTATTCCCGCGGTACTATTCACATGAACAGTAACTTCCTTTTTTTCCCCTCCTTGCCTTGGGAACAGTACCCGCGGGTACTATTTTCGCATTACTGTTCATATGAAGAGTAACTTTTTTTTTTTTTCTTTTTTCCCTACCCTTGGGTATTTTTCCCTTGGGCACTCTTCCATTGGGTAATCTCCCCTCAGGTAGTCTTCCCTTGGGTACTAATTTTAGTACCCTTGGATAATCTTCCCTTGGGTACTAATTTTAGTATCCTTGGGTGACCGTCCCTTGAGTTCTATTTTTGGTACCCTTGGGTACTATTTTTAGTATCATTGGGTATCCTTCCCTTAGGTACTATTTTTGGTACCCTTGGGTAATCTTCCCTGGGGTACTATTTTTAGTATCCTTAGGTACTCTTCCCTTGGGTATTATTTTTAGTACCCTTGGATATTCTTCCCTTGGGTACTATTTTTGGCACCCTTGGGTAATCTTCCCTTGGTAAGGGAATAAATTGTACGAGTTTCACTCAGGTCGCCACTCCTTTAATAAGGGTATTAAATTTTACGAGCTTTACTCAGCTCGTCCCTTTAGTAAGGGATTTTTATTTACTACCCCTTATAGTAAGGGGATAATGATTACGAGATTCATTCAGCCTGGGTACTTGTAATACAGGACACTCATTTACTATCCCTTATAGTACGGGGATATGGATTACGGGATTCATGTAGCCCGGGTCCTTGTAATACAGGACACTTATTTACTATCCCTTATAGTACAGGGATATTGATTACGAGATTCACTCATCCCGGATCCTTATAATACAGGACACTTATTTATTATCCCTTATAGTACGGGAGGTAGTCGTCTTGTCTCTCTAGTAAATAAAGGAAGCTTTAATTATCTCACCTTTCTGTGCAGAAGGAGTAGTCGGCTTCTTGTCCCTTTAATAAGGGAATAATGTGTTGTTGGCCCTTTAAAAATATAAATAGATTATTTTGAGCTTGATATTACCACATAAGTATGTAACTGAAAACATAATATTTTATTGCGTAGAAATTAAGGGTGATCCATCTCATTGGTGATGGTGACTTTATTATAAAATGAAATAACATGTGAAATGATGAACTGAGATGCCCCCAGTCCTTATTTTGAATGACTTAATAAGGTTAATTCCAACTGTGAGACAATTGTTAGTCGGAATGCTTATCTGAGTCTTCCTCACTATATGTCCTATCGCTTTGGCTGAAGAATGATCTCTTATAACTGGTATCATTTTCATCCCTGGTGAGAAGGGCTGACCTCTTTTCGTCATTTCCTTCCTTTCTCTTCCGTGCATTCATGGCGTCTTCAGCGTTCATGTGTTTCTGAGCTCTGATCAACAACTCTGTCATGCTGGTGGGAGGTTGTTTAGATAAGGCGAACAAGAATCTGGAGGTTTGGAGCCAGCCTATGAAAGCGGTCAAAGCCACCTTGTCGTCCATCTCTTCTGCATGCAACATCTCTGTGTTGAATCGGGTGATGTATTCCCGGATCGACTCGCCCTTCTATTGGTTCACTGTAAACAGGCAGGTGGCCGGCCTCCTATGCCTCTGACCTGCAATGAAGTGGCTCACAAATTGTTTACTCAGTTCTTCGAAGGTGTTGATGGTTCCTAGCTTTAACTTATTGAACCAAACTCTTGCCGATCCCTTAAGTGTAGTGGGAAAAACTGGGCACATGATTGCATCTGGCACGGCATGCAAATGCATAAGAGCTAAAAAGGTTTCCAGGTGATCGAGGGGATCATTGGTCCCATCGAAGCTCTCAAACGAGGGCATTCTGAACTTGCTAGGCAATGGATATTTCATAATGACGGGGCTGAACGGTAAGTTGGTCCTTTGTACCAGGCCGTCTATGGCGGCAGGACCTTTTCCTTTCATAGCCCGCATTACATCTTCCATTTTCCCCTTAAGATCCTCGATCTGCAGGTCGAAATAGGTAACTTTCTTTGTCTTTTCCTTAAGACAAATATGGGTGGACCACCTCTTTATGTCGGTTTCCCACCTGGCTTTGTTCCACTTCGGTCTCATTTTAGGGAGGATGATTATCCTACTTTTCAAGATTCTCATTACCTCCGTTTAGATTTAAGAGATCTTGTCGTAGCAAGTTTTGTTGAACCGGTGGAACAAGATGTTGCAGGAGCGCTTCATTTTGCTGGATCAACTGGTCTATACCCTGACTCAGAGTTTGGACCTGCAGTTCCAACGCTGCAAGCCGTGTCTAGTCATTTGGGACGTCTAGGTTTTCACCCGACTGTACCCTTTGACCAGATCCTTACGACGATGTTCCTTCGGTAACCATACCGAATCGCAGACGTATATACCCAACTGAGTAATTAATTGATTCGAGAGAATCGTCGTTCCCACAAACGGCGCCAACTGTTGAGGGTGAAATTCACGCGGTCCGATACGACACCGTTTTCCTGCAAGGAAGAAAAGAAAAGATCAATGAACCTTGACAGCACCGGTGTGGTGCCTGCCAAGAGCTCTCCGACGATCAAGTTAGTCACTGGATGTCTAAAAAGAAGGCAGGGATTTAATAATAGTTTTTCGTCGTACCTTATCCCCGAATCGTCTTCCTATTTATCGTCACTTCCTTTATTCTTGATGAGGGAATCTCATAATCCTTATCCTATAGAACTTATCCCATGGAAATCTTATCCTTGATAAGATTTGTCATTATCCCATGGACTTTATCCAATAGAAATCGTTATCCTTGATAACGAAATATTATCTTTCGAAAGTAGAAGATATTTGACATCTGGTCAACACTTAGTTGCCTCTATCGTTAGGTCAAGATAGGTTAGGTTTATTTTTCCCTATCAATGATCAAAACAATATCAGATACCGAAAGTTCAGAATGAATAAATGTCCTCGCACTAGAGTAACATAACAAGTGTGAAAATTATCAAAATGCCCTCAAAGAATTTGTGAAGTGAACATTGGTATACAATATATATCAAGCAATTTTTTTATGAAAAATTGAGAACAACTATAAAGCACTATTTATAATTTCTTTTCATAAATAAAAATCATTCTCTATATATTTTTATATATACTTGCAAAAAGCTTAAAACTTTTTAGTTTAATTTAAAGGACGAATTGCAATAATAATAAATAAATAAATAAAAAAACCACTCTTAACTATTACCCATTTGCAAGAAACCCCTTGTGAATGTTTTTGGCAAGAAACCCCCCTCAACTATGAGGAGGGGGTGATTTAACGTACCTCCGTTTAACAATTTTGTAAGGTATTTTTTTTATACCAAATTATCCTTATATCTGAGTTAGTAGCTTTAGTTGCGTCTTCATCACGTGAGGAAAAAAAATAAAAAAAATTGGGTCTTCTCCCTCACTTTTTAAGAACTGTGTAAGAAAAGAGAGAACAATATATAAAAATATATATATACACATAGAGGTAGCTCAAAAAATCAACCAAATGGAGTGCAGTTCAATGACCTAGCTTAAAAAATCTTGAATGAAGAAATCCAACAATTCACTTGCTTATGTTAGGAAAATTACACCCACCCTAAAAACAAAAAACAAAAAAATGTGAAATACAGATTAACTAAAACTTATATTATGATTGCAATTGAATACAAATTTTGCTGACTAGTCCCCGGCGTTATAAAAGAATCATCTATTGAGATCATTTGTTTCCATCATTTAATAGCCACGTCTATTAAAACAAGAATAAATAAATAAACAAATACCTCTAACAAAGAACACTATTACTTGTACCGACTCAAGATGCTCTTCCAGACTATACAATATATATATATTATGACCAAAAATCATCAACAAAACTCCAGCGTTGAGTCGAGCACAATCAACAAAAACAATTAAAAAAACCTACCCACTTCCAGTAATTTATTTGACAATTGAAAGCTACCTGTGAAGAGAGATTTATGGTGCAGGAGGAAGCTTTCATCCTATTAATTTATTCCCCAATTAAAAGCACCTTCTTCTATGCTTTTCATTTATCTGTCTATCCCCTCATCATTCCTTGCTTCTTACCTCAATCAAGAACAACAATTGAAAGCCTACCCACAAAAATATCAAGAATTTCATCTTCTTCTACTCTAATAGTTCTCTTCTTCTTTTTTCATTTTTTATTTTTTTATATACTTAATATTGTTTTGGGTCAATGAAAAACAATCAGTTTCAGCAACTCTCATTATATTGATAGAGAGCAGAAGAAAGATGGAATTTTGAAGAATCAATGAAATAGTTTGGTCAGAACTTATTTTTATTTTTATTATTATTTTTTTTCAAGTGGTGTAGACCCAACTAAAGTTACTGACACAAGTGTAAGGGTAATTTGGTCAGAACAAATTGCCTCACAAAATTGTTAAATGGAGGTTAGTTAAATCACCCCCTTCTCATAATTGAGGGGGGTTTCTTGTCAAAAACATTCACAAAGGGGGTTTATTGCAAATGGGTAATAATCAAGAGGAGTTTTTTACAATTTGCCCTAATTTAAATAAAAGTCTACCAAAAATACCTATATCTAAAAAGTATTTTTTTAAATACTCTGTATTATACTAATTAACCCGTCCAAAAAGACAATTTTCAAAGAATAGAGGAGAATGATAAAAACCACTTAAAAAAAAAAAAAAAAAAAAAAAGGTAACAAATTGAGTCATTATTCGTGGTCATAACCCTTTACTTGATCATATTCCAAAAACTATATAATAAATTGGGTAGACTGGTTAGCTCCATATATATATATATATATATATATATATATATATATATATATATATATCAAACACTTAGTTTCTCATCGTAATTGATTGATTGTGATTACCACAAACGAACCATGACACAAATAGCTAACCTTGAAGTGAATGTAGAGATGAAGACCTCCCGAAATAAGTTTTATGGCTTCTTTTCTTTAGGAACAATATAAACTCTTGGTGCAGTTGAGCTCGCAGTGAAATATCTTGGAGTGCCACTCATTTCTACCTGCTTGAAAGCCTCACATTGCAGCCAACTCATCAATAAAATCACACACAGAATCACACACTGGTCATCAAGGTCTCTCTCTTATGCTGGCAGATTATAATTGATCAAGGCAGTGTTGGTTTCAACCTAAATCTATTGGAGCAGTATCTTTGTATTTTCAAAAGGTATAATTGATGAGCTAAATAAAATTTTCAAGTCATTCCTTTGGTCTGTAGCTGAGATGAAATTTACATGCTCCAAAATTGCTTGGCACAAGGTATGCAGACCTAAATAAGCTAGTGGTTTATGTATCCCTAATTTGGAGCAATCAAATAAAGCAGGCATTATGAGGTTCATTTGGGACATACAGTGTGGTGATATGGACAGAATTTGGATTAAATGGTGTCATACACATCTTATTAGAAACATCTAGACACTGAAGTATCCCACTCTTGTACTTGGAGTTGAAGGAAAATACTGCAGTTAAGGCATCCAACAAGGTTATTAATTAAGCATAAGGTTGGAAATGAAGCTGGTACCTCATCTTGGTAGGATGATTGGACTCCAGGAGGACCATTTTGCACCAAATTTTCCACATATGTGCTAAGTGTTGCAGGCATTAATGACAATACCAAACATCACTCAGTCATTGACAGCTCCTCTTGGTCTTTCCCTCAAACCATCACTGCTCAAATCCCATAATTAATGCCCATTCAGCCCCATGTCTAGCTATCATTGACAAGAAGGTTTGGACTGCATCTAATACTGGACACTACTGCTTCAAACAAACCGCTGCCCACTTAGCAGGACAATTTAGTAAGATTCCATGGTATAACTTGGTATGGAAATCCCCAATTATACCCCGCATGAAATTTAACTTGTGGTTGGCAGTTCAATCTAGACTGCTTACTCTTGACAGCAAATCTATGGCTAAACACCAGAATCTGTGTACACTGTGCTCCAACTCATCGGAATCACACGACCATCTCTTCTTCAACTGTCCTTTCATTTCACCATTATGGAGGTATATCAAGGTTAAATGCCACTTCTCAACTGTAATCACGAACTAGAGCAATTTGGTTATGCTTACCAGCCATTTGTGAAAGTCCAATTCTCCCCAAAACATGGTTAGAAAATTTTTCCTCTCCTAAGTGGTTTACCATACTTGGGAATAATGCAACAACTGAATTTTCAAGAAAAAGAATTGTTCACAAAGAATGGTGCTCACCAAGATCAATTCCTGTATCACATCAATTCTTCGACTTGGTTTCCTTAGAGATTGCGCTGCTTCGAGGAGGATACTTGTTGAATGGAATGTCCATCCATCTTGTTGTAAACCCCCTCTACGTCCGCCAGACTACCCAAGTTGCGAGATTGCAGTCCTTAATTTGGATACCAGAATTTGGTTCAGTTGAGCTCAATTAACGATTAATGGCAGTTATTGATTCTCATCTTTAGTTAATTTGGTTAGGCTTCTGCCCTACGTTGCCTTTTGGGCTTGTTTTGCACCGTGGGCTTTTACTTAAAGTTATGTATTGGGCTAAGGCCCCAACTTTATACATATTTAACTTTTTATATCAGTTGTTTTATTTTCCAAAAAAAAAAAAAAAAAAAAAAAAATGAACAGCTTGTCAACATTTTCCTGGGAAAAGTTGAGGGCGTGGAGCTACTTGAAGGAGAAGATAACAATGTAGGCTGCATTAAGCTGTGGAAATATGTACTTGGTCAATGATTACAATTTACATATTATATATATATATATATATATATATATATATATATATTTCATTCTTGGATAGATAAATAAAAGAAAAGACTTATCTACTCGGTCCAATTAATGAGCGGTGTTACACATTTGAATTTTAATTCGAGATTCTATTTTGAATTTAATGTGGCGATAAGTAAAAAGACCTGAACGCCCTCTATTTTAATACATATTACATTTTACTCTTTTATACATTTGTATTCATATTATAACAAATTAACAATTGAAAGAACATGGAAAAACTGATTTCTTTTTCCATTTATAATTTGAAATTATCATTTTAAAAGGTTTTAAGTGAATTATGTAAATTAATATTTTTATTTATGAGAAATAAATCACTTTTATATATATATAAAAAACCTGATCACCCATCACAGAATACAAATAATACCTCTTACAAGTTATACATGTATCACAGAATACAAATAATATCTCTTACAAGTTAAAACCTGATCACCCATCACAGAATACAAATAATATCTCTTACAAGTTATACATGTATCACAGAATACAAATAATATCTCTTACAAATTAAAACCTGATCACCCATCACAGAATACAAATAATATCTCTTACAAGTTATACATGTCTGCAAATTACGATCTATAAGAAATTTGGGTCAAATTGCGAGAGGAATTTTAGTTTCCTCGGTCGCGAAATGGATCTCGGAAGAGATAGCTCGATTCCGAGAGTAAAAGATTTCCAGATTCAGAGTTCTTGGATTCCAATTACTCCAGTGAAGCCCGATTCAACCAAGTCGGAGCCGATCTGCGCAGAAGCACACCGCCTTCTTAGTGAAAGAAGCTGATTCGACACAGAAAAATGCTCGGCTAATTTCCACAAGAAATTCGGACGAGTAGTGGGGTTGCATGTTGGAATTCGAACAACTGTGATGAAAAGAACAGTGATTTCTGCAACAGGGAAGAAGCTATAGCCGGAACATCTCTCGTTCCCGGTGATTTCTCTTTTTCCGATCTTCTGGCCAAACCTAGATATACAAACCTCTTTAGTTTCAAAACACACCTCTCACCTCATGCGGCCAGTTCCGAAGCCAACTCCGATCTCACCACCGCCGTTGATCACACGAAGCTCTGTTCCGGCAGAAATCACTGGCGTGGGCGATGAGGCTTTCTAGCTTTCTGCGGCGCGGAAAGAAAAAAATAAAATAAAAATATAAAGGCATTAGTGATATTTTACATTCATAAATTTTATATATTTTTTTAATAAATTAAAAACTAAAGGTTCATGTAATCTTAAAGAGAACATTTTACTTGTTTTTAATAATTATAGGGACAACTTGCTCCCAAAATAATTCGGGAGCAGAGGCATTACGTAACCATTGTATAGTTCAGGAGTTTTGTTTTTTGTTTTTTTTTTTTTTTTTTCCTAAAAACAATTATCCCTCCATCCTTTCACTCTCTCTCTCTCTATCTCTCCCTCTCTAAACCGTCTCTCTCCACTCTCTTTCTCACTCTACAACAGAGACAAACTTCCTTATTCTATTTGGTCTCCATCGACAACTGCATCGCACTCACGCCTTCAAGCCTACTCCGGTGAGCCGAACAATAAGTAACCGTGCAAGCCAATGAGACTTATCCCTTATCCTTTAACTCCTTTGATTTTAATTACGATTTCACTTTACAATCAACGTACTATAATCAAGTGAGGATTTAATCTTATCCAATCCCAGGGAACATTAAAGTTTCAATTGGGTCTTACTACCGTCATGATCGAATTTGACGTCCTCAAATTTGTGGACGACAACAACAAAAACACTAGCCGGAAATTGTAGCGGCAACTTGGGTCACTAAAATTTGGATTCCAACTTGGGCCACCAAAAAAACTTGGTCCAGAAATCACTGGAAATTGTACGTCATGATTGCTGCAAGTTTGAACAGAGAAACATGGAACCATAAGAGATGAGATTGAATAAATATTGAGGTGCATGGCCATGGCTCTAATAAAGCCAACAGATGGAGTTGCAATTGCAAACCAAGAGTTGTGGTTTGAAGCCGATGGCTGTGGTGGAAGGTGGTGGTAGCCATGATGAAAGGCGGTGGTTGCAACAAAGGAAGATGGTGTCGGTGGTTAAAGACAGTGGTGGTAGTAGTGGTGGGAGTAGGTGGTAGTAGTGGTGGAGGGTGAAGGTGGTTGTGGTGAAAAATAGTTGTGATTTTTGGGTGAGGATTTTTTGAGAAGTTCATTTTTTAAAAAAATTTATTTGGGATAGTCATTTTATAAGGTTAGTTATGAAATGAATTTTCATTATCATTCTATAAATTAATAGTTAAAATAAGCATTTTATTACTGCAAATCAAATAACAAAAGTGTTTTTTTTTTTTTTTCTTTCTTTTCAAAATAATAAATAAAAAATATTATATATGAATTATTAAAAAGATAATTATTAAATATGTTAAGTATTAAAAAGAGAAACGCATATATTGTACGGAGTAACTTTACTTTAACGTGAGCTTGTTATCGAAAAGATCAAATCTTGAAAATTCTCTTTTGGCCTAAGAGATATTGTGCTCGTCCTATGCACTAAAATATATCAATCTGGTGCTCGTGAACGGATGAACACAGAATTAGGACGGACCTATGTACAATTGGGGGTTGGGGTGGTGGAATTTTTATTTATTTTTTATTTTTTATTATTAATATGTCTTACTAAATTGTATTTTTTTTAATTATATATTCCTAAAATATTACTATTGTCCCTCTTTTGAAATTATTAAAAAAAGAGGTAATTTCACTGACACCTCTACTAGTTTGGCCAAATATCAATCTAAAATATCTTTTCAAAATAACTATCACTCACATTTGCTCCGTTTTTCACTCACACTCCAAAAGTTAGTTGACAGGGGTGTCAGACCACTTTTTATATGTAAAAAAGACATTCTTACCCTTTGATTTTGGTTTGACCCAGTTAATGACATATTTACCCTCATTTGACTAACTAAATTATTTTTTTAAGTATTCAAATGACATTTTTACCCCCCCCAACCCACACCCACATCCACACCCACCCACCCACACACACACACACACACACATTACACACAAGCACAGCACCACCACCAACACCGGCGAGGATTCCAATTTTCCTCATATATATATATATTATACACACAAGCAAATCCACTATTGCAGAATTCCAATTTTCACCACCACCAACACCGGTGAGGATTCCAATTTTCCTTATATATATACACACAAGCAAACCCACTATTGCAAAATTCCAATTTTCACCACCACCAACATCGGCGAGGATTCCAATTTTCCTCATCCCCTTGTCCATATAATAATTAGCCTCACTTGCGAGAGTGTTTCAGTTAACCGGAAAATCTGACACACAATAACAGGTGGCCGGAAATTGACCCAACGCCGGAGATAAGGAGAACAATTAAAGGAAGGTGAGATTGTGCGAGAGATACGAATACAGACCTTAGATCTGGCGGCGGAGGAGGGAATGGAGGACTAGTTGGACTTGTCGCAGCCGTTGCTGGGAGATGCGGTGGCGCCGCTCTGTGGGGCTGCATCTCGTGGAGTCGCGGTTTTTCTTCGCCGACGGCTTCGAAAGCTACTGGCGGTGTCCCCAACCGAGCGGCGGAAGCAGTAGTGGCGGAGGTGCGTAAGATTCCGATGAATGCTTCATCGATAACAACAGCTCTGCCACCACCGCATTGTCTGTCAGAGCCGCCGTCACCCAGTCGTCTGATGTCATCGAGTGGTCTTCGTGTTGGAAGGAGAGAGATAAAAGGGGAGGTGGTTAGTTGATTTCAATGGCAAAGAAGGGTAAATATGTCATCTGAATGAGGATAAATATGTCATTTCAATCATTAAATAGTAATTAGGTTATCTAATTCTTTGGAATAAATGTGATTAAAAAATTAGGGGCAAACATGTCTTTTCTCATGTTTTTAATGGAGGCAGTAACGGAAAAGTGAAAATGGACCTAAGTGATAGTTATTTTCGAAAGATATTTTAGACTGATATTTGGCTAAACTACTGGGGGTGTCAGTGAAATTAACCCTTAAAAAAATATCATTTTTATCCCTCACTTGATGTTCCAGTCCGTCCTTGCACAGAATCCCTATGCCCAGGGACTACTATGCCTCACTATTTTTGTCATTCTGATATAAATATTACTTTTGCCTCTCTGAAATTATTTAAAAAATTCAGTATTGCCCTCTTCCCTTAGTTTCTCTGTTGGTTCTGCCTATACCCATGATAAAAGCTAACAAGTAACTTAGTATTTAGATTTTAAGACTTTAAATGTATGCGTATGTATACGTATGTGTATGTGTGTGTGTGTGTATGAGGGGTTTTTATTATAATTAGTTAATTTGTGACAGGAAGTCCAATGGCAGTGAAACTGAAGATCGAAGCAATAGAAGATGAAAATAAATCAATAACCTTCAATGCCCTTGACGGGAATGTTATGAAGTTGTGCAAGAGTTTCAAGATCAAGCTTGAAGTTATTAAAGAAAATGATGGTGCTGGTTTTTTGAAATGGACCATTGAGTTTTGAGAAAGCATACGAGGAGGTCCCAAGTCCTCAAGTTATGGCCAGTTTGCAGCCATGTTATCCAAAGGCTAGCTTTAATTATTGCAGTCCTCTTGCCTACCTAGCTATTATTATAAAATAAGTTCTCTTGGTGGTGAAACTGGGAAGATATAAACATTAACTACCCATGATAAAAGTTGTGAACAAGTATGAAATGAGAAGCACAAATAAAGTTGTGTGTTAATATTTTTCCGTTTTTGCAAACCCGTTATTATTACTAGGGCTTTGAAGTACCAAAAAAATAAAAAATAAAAAGGGTTATAGAAGATACCTGGAACTAAACCATACGATTTGAATTAGTCCATTGGAATTAAAACTAAACCATATGATTATAATTAGTCTGGATCCAAAATTAATTATTTAAAGAGTTAATATATAATAAATTAAGATTTAAATAAAGCAAGTTGAAAAGAAAAAAATAATTATAATTTAAATATTATGTTTAATACATTTTTAAACCAACCATCCAAGTCAAACTCCACGGTCTCATTTCTGATTGGTTGAAATACCAATCATGGAAATCATAATTAATGTGTCTTTCCTATTTTTATTAAACTTTAAAACATAAACCAAATTACCTTTTAAAATTATTTCCTCTTTTCTATATATATAATGTTTATTCTTTCCTTTATAATTTTTTTTTTTTTCTTTCTTTTTTGTCTCTCTCCTCTCTAAATATTCGTGAATGATTTAGAAATAAGAAGAAAAAACAATGGGAGCTTTTCTTCAATTACTTTTTATTTACCTTTTTAAAAAAATAAAATGATAAGAAAGTCAATAAATTCATTAATACACCATCTCTCATTTTATAATATCATAACTACCATTTATACAACTTTTAACTTTTTTTTTACCTTCTTTACTTCATTCACTATATAGATATTTTTTTTAATCCTCTTTTTTTTGTATAAAATAATTTTATTCATTTTATTATTATTATTTTTTTGTCTTGTCAAAAGAAACTTAAAATATTAAACATTAGATATAAGGAGATGAAAGACAATTGTATTATTTGAAAAATAATAATCATTTACTTGTAAAGTTATAGTTAGAATCGACATTTTCATTTAAGATTGTAATGCAAATGTAGAAAAGTATAGTGCGAATATCACCTCCCAAAATAAAACCCTTTCATATGAAAAGATTATTCCCTTTCCTTTTTATTTTATTTTTTCGAATTGTTTCCTTTCATTTTTGTTTGTGTGCAGGGATTCCAACTATCCCTTCTCTCTTTCAAAGTTTCGCAAATTAACTAAAACTCAAATTCTACAATTTTAGTTCAACTAAAACTCAATCTCAGATTATTAACTTTGAAATAAAAAAAAAAAATCTCATATCATTACTTCAATTAAAACTTAAAATGATAAAAATTCAATCCATCAAACGAGTATATATTTATATATTTAAGACAATTGAATAAAAAAGAAATATTAGCCAATTGAAACAAAAAAATAATAATAATAAATAAAAAAATACAATAAAAAAATGAAGAAAAAAGGTTTTTTTTTTTTTTCATATAAATAAAGGGAAGAATCTATAATATGAATTTAGAGAGGAGAAAGAATAAAGATTATATTTATATTTGTATATACATGTACAGAAAAGAAATATAAAGAATTTTAAAAGATAATTTGATTCTAAAAATTTATGTTTTAAAATTTTATTAAAATAAAAATATACATTAATTAAGACTTTCATAATTCATATTTCAATCGATCAGAGATGGACTGCTGGCAGTCACACAACCAACCACTCCTCTTGAAAGTTTTCAATTCAAATTTAATTATAATCACAGTAAAAAAAAAAATACTGTAATTATTCAACTCATAAAAAATGGAGCTGGGTTCGGTTTGGTGGCCCACCCAAGTTCTACTCCCAAGTCCCAACCCTTGCATAAACAAAGATTACACCGTCTCCGGGTTACCACTCTGCACTTATCTTCCCTTTTTCATTTCCTTCTCGCCAAACGCTTAGTTGATAATTAAAAGTTCCCCTTAGGGTAAACAAACTTCTAAGACCCACATTTTCTCACACTTTCACTGATGTCTGAAGAGGGTGCAGGGTCGCAACAGCTCCAACCCTACACGGCTGAATCAGAGAATACAGAGCTTCTACCTCAATCCTCTTCCGGTAACCCCTTACCTACGCTCTCCTCTTTTTCCCGATCTGTTTGGTTGCTCAGAAAATGCAAGAAAAGAGAGAAAAATTGAATCTAATGCCTTGCGTTGTTTTGATTCCGGAGAAAAAAAAGTCAAGGAGGACTTAACTTTATGAACCGGAGTTCCGTAGAACAATGAAGCTAATGTGAACGACAGTAATAGATGCTCTTTCGGTGATTCATGTTACTTGATAGATAGTTTTTTTTTTTTTTTTTTTTTGGGTGAGATTTGCAGATTTCCTTGCTTGGACACCTTTGTCCAAGCAAAACTCTGATTTAGGGTTTCACCTTTTCATTCCTTGATGAGGGCGCTCACTCATCAGTTGGATTGAGCGACGAAACCTCAGGGAGGTCAGTGTAATTTACCCAAAATAAAATGACACAATTGTTCCTTCAAAAAGTAAAACCTAATAAACATGTGGAGAAACAACTGGAATGTATTTGGACTTTGTTTCTTCCAAAAAAAAAAAAGAGAAAAATGAAACTATTAATCTTTCAAAAGTCAAAATCTAATAAACATGTGGAGTATAACAGTACTGTTGAGTGTAACAGTCTTTGTGTTGAGAGTGATTTTTATGTCCATTGCACTATAAATATGTAAGCATGTACAATTATGTGGATATACACATCTTTGCGTCATTTCTTTGCTATTGGTATCCTTGTTGAATATATATGGCTCTGCTATTTCAATGTACAGATTTTGTATAATGCTTTTCTAAACAATTTTAGAAGCTCGAGCATATTTTAAGATATTCTTTTACGTTTTTGCAAAACTTGTTTTAACTTCTGCCCATATTATCTCCAGTGAAATTACTCATCTTTGCTCAATATATACTTTTCTGTAATTTTTCTTAAAAATGTTATTTGTTTCCCAGTGTTTCATAAAGTATAATTGACATATCAAAGTTAATCATCTTTATTCAGCATTATGCTTGTGTAACTCTTTTGAGAAATTTAAATCCTTCCCAATGTTTTATGTGGCCTTTTGAAATCTATACGACATAATTGACTTTTAGAAATTGATCTATTCTGTGTTGGATATGTGTTTTGACATTTAACTTCACGGGGATCCTCGACATGTGCACGACACTTCATGGAGGTGTTCATAACTTAAAAATAAGTTTCATTTTTCAGAAACTTAGCTGACACATCCTAAACACTTAGGCATCTCATATGCTATACAAGTTATCTATAACACAAACACATCCACGAGTTTGTCACATTCATACACTTGGAAACAGTATGAGAAAACCTGAAAGTGTCTGACCTTTTCTTCTTCAACAAAGTGACATAACAAGTCAAGCACGCGATGACACTTCTGTATCCATTTTGTGTCATATCCGTGTTGTTTAATGTCCGTAGTCCCCTATCCGTTTCTATCCTACTTAGGCATGGATGATGATTCTAATATTGTGTGTTTGTTCTTACACATTAAGCTTTTATTTCTTGATACTTTGCATGGGTTGAGTTGCCGATGCGTGAACAATACTATACTTTTTTGTTAATTGCCATTAGAAAACTAAGCAATTTGTATATCTGATGAGTTTACCTTTTAGCGATTCTAATTAATCTAATCTACATAAGAAATTGTCATGGTGTTTATATGTGATTAATCTTGTTACTTATACATGTCCATGTATAAGTATGCTGCTATTCTACACTATCATAGTTGACATTGCATAAGTTTAATGATATTGATTGCATCATTATGTCAGCAGTTTCTATAAATGCTTTATGTAATAATTTAATTGCTTTGATTTTTCTTAGATCTCCAAGAACACTCACGGTACAAGAATCGCTTACAAGAGTACACACAAAAATCTGCTATACAGCTCCCAGTATATCAAACGAATAATGAAGGATCTCAGCATTATCCGAGGTTTAGGTCCACTGTCAAAGTGGATGGATCAAGCTATACATCTCCTAGCACATTTTCTCATCGAAAGGCTGCCGAGCAAGATGTTGCCCGAGTTGCGTTGGAGGTCATATCAAAAAAGACAAAGGATGCACAATGCCCTCTTATTCATGAGGTTAGTCTCATGCATGGTTGTTAAGCTTCTTAAGACACACTGTGTTGTCATGGCATCCGGAAACCAATGTGCAAGACGCATGTGTAAAATAGCACAATACAAGTATATTGGGGGGCAAAGGAACTAGTCAAGATCAAAGTAACGGATTTTTCTGCATGTCAATTAGTGGATTAGCAAAATTAATATGCATCTATCTTTTCAATTTGCATATAAATTCTATTAAATCAATGTATAATAGAACAGTTCAAACTAGCTGTCTTTTTCTTTTTTCATTAATCAGGTGTTTGATTGCATCATTTTACATAAGCTTGTATTAATCAATCTCTATCTTTGCTCCATAAAGACCTACAGTTATTCGCTTTTTTTTTGCGCTTACTAATGCATTTTGTGTCTCTTTAGAATCAGCTCTTTAGAATCAGTGATAAGGTTTTCTAAAGGTTTTGCATGCGAGTACATTTCTTCTTCCTGTCCAATATATACAGATAGTCGGGTGATAAATGTTTCCATTTATCTACTACTCCCTTGACACAGTGCATGTATTCTTAGGTTATAAATTCTATTTAATCAATATATAATGGAACAATTTAAACTAGCTGTCTTTTTCTTTTTTCATTAATCAGGTGTTCGATTGCATCATTTTACATAAGCTTGTAGTAATCAATCTCTATCTTTGCTCCATAAAGACGTACAGTATTCTTTTTCAAGTTGGTATTGAATAAAATGTGACAAAGTGTTACAAAGATCTCCAGATTTAGTGTATTTTAGTTTTTTCTTTACTTATTCGCTTCTTTTTGGACTTACTAATGCATTTTGGTGTCTCTTTAGAGTCAGTGATAAGGTTTTCTAAAGGCTTTGCATCCGAGTACATTTTTTCTTCCTGTCCAATATATACAGAAAGTCGGGTGATATATGTTTCCATTTATCTACTACTCCCTTGACATGGTGCATGCATTCTTAGCTTCAAGTAATGAGGTCTACATGACTCCAAAGCTGTTGTTCACAATGTTTGGTACCCGTTGCATTTGTGTTTATTCCAGCGAAATTGACGAATCCTGTATGAAGTATGTTTATCTCTGTGTTTTTGGCTTGTTTTCCAATGGATTACTTAGCTGGAGTCAATGAACATATTTCCCTGCTTGAATTTGTTTCAGAAATACTGGGCTAACAATTTCCCCCCTCCCTTTGGTGACCATAAAGTTCATTGTGTTCAATCTCTTTCTTCTCTTTACAAACAATTCTTAGTTTTTGTTCTCCATATTCACCTAGTTTTGATTTATTATTTACTTTGAAGTGAATGATAACAAATGAACTATATTAGGAACTGAAAATGAACTTCTCTTGCAAAATAAAGGAAAAAGTGATACTTCTCTAGTTACAAATATTTTGTATGTGTTAAGTAAATACTCTAGTCACCTTTGAAGTGGTCAGAATAATGGTGAATGCTGTTCAATTATCCCAAAATACACATTTGACTCTTCACATTTTATCATTTGTTATCAATTCTCAAAATATCTACACTTGATTCCTTTTTTTAGTTTCCGAGGAAGTATTAGAATCAAATTATGTTTAATTTTTTATTCATTTTAATTATGTGGAAGACAGTTTGCTAAATCTTTCCATTGTTGTTTAAGAGACATAAGGATTGAATGCGAGTGTTCTCTTCCTTTTTTCTTTTTCTTTCTCCCCTTCCCTCCCCTTTTTTTTTTTTTTGGGGGGGGGGGGGGGGGGGGTTGTTGAGTGTATGTGAATTTTAGACATCACTATCCTGATATGACGAGAAATTATGGCAAGCAACCGAAAATACTAGTCATTGTTACTTATTATGTTATTATTGTTGTTTTGTTATTGTAACACTCATATTTTCACCTTTCTAATTCATTACGATGTATTGTATAAATGGATGTATAAGTAGTAATGCAAAAATGAGTTATATTTTCATTTTAGGAATACTGTTTGAGAAGGCTCAGTTATGTTTTATTTTTTGTAGCTTATCCAGGATCCAGTCTTCTGCAAGTCTATCCTAAATGAATATGCATCCAAGATGAAATTGGAGAAACCGACTTACAATACAATTCAACAGGCAGGTTTGCTTCCAGCTTTTGTATCTTCTTCTGTTTTCAATGGTGGTACGTATACTGGTAATACCGGCAAAAACAAGAAAGAGGCTGAACAGTTGGCTGCACGCACTGTAATCCTATCAATTTTGGGTATCCATTTCTTAATTCTTAGTTACAAATTACTACAAGATCTCTCTCTCTCTCTCTCTCTCTCTCTGGGTGTAATTGGCTTGCTGAAAATATTATGCAGATGATTCTAATTTGAGTATGGTTATTTCTGAAATCATAAAGTCTAAATACCGGCTTTATAATGCATTGCATAAAGTTGAGGACTCACACAATGCCTTCATGCCTTTGGTTGTAAAAAGAGGTAATAGTTTTGGGATTCCTTTAAGTAATTAGATAGATGTTGAAGTTGAAGTTCTTGGGGATATTGACAAATGCCTATTAATACAAATTCAGAGACCTGCTCAGGACTGCATCCCAGACCTGCAATCCCAGTTCATGAATTCAAGAAACCAAAACTAGAACCTGATACGTTGCCATTTAGTCCAATTTTATTTGTGCCTCCTGTCATGCCGCAGCCGCTTTATGTTGGTTCAACTTCTGCTACAAATCGGAACCGTAAAAACAAGAAGAAGGCTAAAAAGAAAGTGCGAGTTGATCCTGAGTAAGTACTATTTTACTCTTTATAATACTAATAAAGATGAAATAATGGTGATAATAATATTAATGAATTTATTATAATTATATCTCAAGTTCTGTTATGCTATGGTTTCATTGTTTGCTATTTGGTACTTTTTTCTGCCCTCATGCACAATTTATGTTAGTTTGTTTAAACTTTTATGTAAGCATGCATAAATTGTTTCTGTTCCTTTGAATAAAGAGACAAGTTCAGGTTTAGACTCGGTATGTGATCATCATCATCATCATCCTTGCTTTTGTTCCATTTGGATAGGGTCAACCACATGGATTCTCTTTTTCCATTCCTATTATAAACCATGTCTATTACAATATTTAGATTTTTAAAGTCATTTTTCATCCCATGCAAATTTTGGTCGGCCTCTTTGTCGCTTATCTTCTAGGCAAACAACCCTTCCTCTTCTAAGCATTGCATCTTTGCCACTACATTGTATATGACCATACCTCGTCTACTTTCTCTAATTTTATCACTAATAAAATATAGCTTACCTTTCACCCATTCATTACTAATCTTATCGCTTTTAGTTACTCCTATCATCCATTGTAGCATCCTCATTTTTCGCTACATGCATGCATTGTTCTCGCACGCGCAGCACTCTGCTCTATACCATGACTGACCTAATAACCGTCCTATAGAAAATTTATTTTATTTGATATTTGTTTGTCACATAGGATTCAACTAGTTTACATCACCATCTTTCTTCCCATCTTTTTGTAATATTGGCCCTAGATAGTGAATTTTTTAAATTTTAATTTGAAAAATTTGCTGGAGTGGTCTAGATTTTATGTTGCAAGATTCATGAATTTTGTCTTAGCTGATTTTTTATTTCTGGATGACATATAATTTAAACTAGAGTGTGTCGTTGGAGAAAATTTGATTGATGAATTCTCCCAAAAGAGAAATAAAGGACAACACAAAAAAAAAAAAAAAAAAAAAAATGGAAGATGATAATTGGAGTTACTGCGCACCAATATAATGGGAAAAAGTTATTTGTGGAGAAGGATACTAGAAGTGTTGTAGTTATAAGAAATTATGTTAATTCGCACAAGGAGAATTGGTTTCTTTGTCTTTCTTCCGGAACAAGAGTTTCAGATGTTGTTTTAGGTATTTGTGATTGAAACTTTGATAGTTTGTTAACTTGCAATTTTATTAACTTGATCTGAATGACTGGTGTTTGTTTTGCATATTTGAATTCTTTTTTTTTTTTTTTTTTCACTAATCATATTTGAATTCTTATTGCACAAGAGCACAATGTTAGCGTACCCTCCAGCCCCTTCTCTGTGTGTGTGCATGTGCTTGCGCGCTTGTGTGTTGGAATGGAAATAATGCTCTCATTTTTATGTTGTGTGTGTGACAGTGTAATGTGTTATTTATTTATTTATTTTTTTTATTTTTATTTTTTTTTGTGGTTATATTAGTTGGTTCTTTTAATTCCTTATTTAAAAACTTATTGAAGAGCATTTATTTTGCTTGACTAAACAAATTTACATTACTTGACTGAGCACTTTCTGAAGTGCAGGTTGCCAGTTGCTGTGCTACCTTCCAGCCATGTTCCTCCTTGTTCAGTAGCTCAATGAGAGGCACAAATCTCTCCATGTCCCTTTAGGTAGACCAGCCTCTAGTACTGCATTACTTTATATTGTATCGTTGTCTCTCTTTTAAGCTTTTCTTTTAGGATTATTTGTCTGGTCAGTAGATAAGTTCTGGGAAATTGCAGGTTCCAGTTTGCTGTGCTGCTATGAACAAAGCCATGCCCTTTTGGGCACTCCGTAGAAAGGCCCATATATTTGTTGTGTATATTTTTGTTAAAATGTGGCTCAAAACTTCCTTTTCTTGCTGGACTTGAACTTTTTATTGTGAAATAGAAGATATTCAGCATACCTTGGATATTTATAAACAGTATGTTTGTGGCTGTTTATTGTTAGTTTTGGATTTTAAATAGTATGGTCCGATTTCAAAACCGTTAAAAGTGCTTGGGCATCAATGAGTTCTTGCTTCAGAGCAATTGGGAAATATCTAATGTTTGAGGACTAGGCAATGCCCTTGTTTTGGAGGTTGACAACCCAACCTCGTCTTTGTAAGTTTGGATTAGGCTTGAGTTGAGTTGGGTTAATTAGAAACGATTCTCCAAAAACAACCTGAAGAGTCGTCATGATGAGTTTACTCGGGTTGGGTTTAGCTTATTTGACACCTCTCTTTAATCCTGATCGGGGTTGATGTTTGTTTTGAATTTTTCTAATATAAGCTCAGCCGGAGCAACAATACTTTGTGTCAAGCAATTGTTTTTAGAATACTTGTAGATAAAGCAGCAAACAATTAGTAGTTTTAATTGACTTTTTCTTTGGCTCTATGTAGAAAATAATGTTTGTTTCTTAAAATCTTTATATCCCTTTGAAAACACTTGATGAGACTAGGAGAAATGCGTCTTATTAAGATGAAACTAGACCTAATTAAGTTGCAACTTACAGAAAATTTAAAATTGGTGTCCTCGTTAAAGTGATTTTACTGTTGGGTAATGGGTTAGTGCCTCCACTCATAGGTTGAGCCAGGAAACCATTGGTGGCCACAATAGTAACTCAAATGGCTAACCAATGTCAACTTACTCTTTTAGTTCACCTGTTTTTCAATCTCATGAATTCATCCACGCCCATGTGCATGCTTACGAAAATGTGTGTGTGTGTGTGTGAGAGAGAGAGAGAGAGAGAGAGAGCGGTGCTGTTTGGGGGAAACTTCACTAAATGGTAATTAGGAACTTAAAACTTGTGATTATGAATAGTTAATTGGTTCAGTGTGTGGTCTGAGACAGAGCTATAGAGGTATATATGGATATAATTAATTAGTTAGTTTTGAAAGATAAGAGGAAGCTGGCTTTAAAATGAACACATGGGTTTGTGAGATTATGATCTGTTTCGATAAGGATTTCCAAATACAATACTTTGTGATCAGGAACAACACCACAAAATCTCCTTGAGACAAGGACTTGCGCTTCTTCCGATGCCAGCTTTGAATTTCTCATTGCCTTGTCCACAAAACAAAACACGTGGATGACGATCTTCATGGAGTTTGTGGAAGATATCTATATATTATTGATGGACAATCAACATAAAAAAATTAAATAATTAGTTAAAGTACTACGTATTTATTAGGGGTTATTATATTTTTTATATTAACAAGAGATACATTAACACACTCATAATTGCTCAACTTGAACTATATTATTCTTTAAAAAGTGAAGAAGTATCATTAGATTATGCTGCTTTTGATATGCTGGTTTAAATTTATGACAACAATCATTTTATACAAAGGAAATGAAATCCAAGCCTAAGACTGTACCGAACAACAAGCCAAATATCATTTCATACAAGGAAAATGAAACACAAGCCTAAGACTGTGCCAAAAGCAAAAATAAACATCATTTTGTGTCTTTAATTAATTAATCTGAATTAAACAAAGGAACATAAAGAGGTTTTTTGTACAAACTTGTACCAAAAAGTGTTCTTGAAGATTGAGTTAATTGCTTTAGTTCTAATTCAACAATTTAAATTCACAATAGTGGACCCTCGATAGATATGCTGTTTTGATATCTTATGCCAACTTATACTACTACATGTAATATAGTATATTGTTACTATTATTACTTTCTAGTGCAAATTTGGAAAAAGAAATAAAATATGCAAATCAGAATGTCAATAACTGACCAATCTATTCCAACCAGAAATTTGATTATATATTTGATATGGATTCACATCTAGTTTTTAAAATTTACTTAAAGTCAGAAAATGGGTTATGTTCATCAAAGTCAATTGTACAACTTCAAGGTATATGAATTCCATTTGACTTAAATTACCCACCTACACAGAATGTAGCATGCTGTGTGAAACCACGTGCTTATGAATTGAGATCACAAGGAAAGAAGCTAGGAAGGAAGGAGCATCAGAAAAGATGGTCCAGGTTCCTCAAACTCAGACTAACAATGGTGGGGAATCTCAGACGTGGGATGGCGAAAGATCCGCCGACCCTTTTGCTGCTTTGCCCTAATTTTTATCTTCTCTCCTCTTCTTCCATCTCTGCCAGCTAACAATCCCCATACAAACATAAACTTAATATAATGTATGTTCATTACATCTACACACACACACTAGTTTTTAAATATTTCTTGTTCCCATAAAAAAACAGGTCTACTTCATTTTCTTTTTCAAGTACTACCCTTTGAAGAATTTATGCAAATCCATCACCAATTAATATAAAAATCTTGGGTTAATTTGAATCTCTACAAATAGGCCTTCTTCAACATTTTGCCATAAACCATATTCCTCTCTGTGCTTGACCTAGCTTTTGTGCCTTAAATTCTAAAATTCTCTCTCTCTCAATGGCACTGGCCAAGGACAGAACAGTACCTCATGACTCACACACGGGCTTAATTCAAGCCTGTTCACAATATGGCAATCTGTTTGGAGCTAAAGTTTCTGATCTTTCTTCTTCGCATTCTAGTCCAAGCAGCACAAACTCTAGTGGATTTGTGTATCATCAGCCCACAAATTATCAACCTCATGAGGAAGCTCATTCTGTCATAAATTTCAAAGCCGGGTACGATCATTTCATGCATACTAGTGGATCCGTGCTTAGCTTTGAGCATAATGATGAACAAGTAATTAGTCACCACAATCAAGTTGATGATGACTACCCAATTTGGGAAGAGAATTCGAACCACATCTACCCACTTCAATTTAATCCAAGTAGCACCACCAGTCCACGCCTGTCCGGAAATTTCAACTGTCTCCAGACTGCCACCAGTTTTGGCTCTACCGCGGCCACTGAAACCATTCAGGAGCTTGGAACACAAGAAGCATTCCATAAGCGTCCCCATATGGTACGTTTTTTCTCTTTAGTTCCATCAATTGCAAGTCTATATATATTTTGAGCTTTAATTTGGAAAAAAGAAAAAAAGAAAAAAAAGAAAAAGTAGTGACTATATATGGTGATGATGAAGTTTAAATTGTAGTGATGATTTTATTGGGAATTATTGTTACTGCAGGAAGAGAGCATGCAAGCTTTGAAGAAGCAGTGCATCAGTGCAACAAAGAAGCCCAAATCCAAGTCAACTACTACTCCATCCAAGGACCCTCAAAGTATTGCAGCCAAGGTTTGCTTCTTCTTCTTAAAGTCAACCTATTTTAGATATTAATGATGATATAGAGCAATATTGGGTGAAAATTAAGCAAGCTCAAAATGGGAATTTAGTGAGAGAATGTTTGTATTTGCAGAATCGACGGGAACGGATTAGCGAGAGGCTGAAGATACTGCAGGAACTTGTACCCAATGGTACCAAGGTGCATGGACAAATTAATTAAACATTATTATTATTAGTTAATCATGGTGGCTTCAGGTACAAACCATGGTGAGACATGATTAATTTTTGTAACAAGTTTGTTTTCTTCATGTTCAGGTTGATTTGGTTACCATGTTAGAGAAAGCCATCAGCTATGTCAAGTTCCTTCAATTGCAAGTGAAGGTGAGATTTCAAATCAAAGTTTATTTATTTATTTATTTATTTTTATGTATATTTTAATTTTATTGATCCATTGAATATATATATATATATATATATATGCAGGTGTTGGCAACAGATGAATTTTGGCCAGTGCAAGGTGGAAAAGCTCCTGAGCTGTCTCAGGTAAAGGAAGCTATTGATGCCATTTTATTATCTCAAAGGGACAGAAACTCAGGTTCAAAGTGATGCCCAGAGAATCCAAGAAGAAGATGGAGACAAATAGTTATAAATATTATATGTTTAAAAAAGAAAAGAAATATCTTTTGCATTTTCATGAAGTAGTTAATGTAATGAGAACTGAGACTGCAAACCTTGTCCCAGTTTCAATCAAGTATAGAATCTATCTTTTTTGTTTTTTTCTCTTTTATTAATGTTAGGATTTGCAGGAAGGTTGCACCATTAGATTGTATCTGATTTAATTTCTCATGACTTTATGAATTATCTATTGGGAATCTCTTCTTCTTCTTCTTCTTCTTCTTGTTTCTTCTGTCTTGTTTCTTCTGTAAAACTTTGTCATATGGGACCTTATATTGTTGGAACAAATTAGCAAAACATAATTATGTAATCATCAACATGAGCAATCAATTAGCACTTGGGTTCAAAAGCTCGAGGTACTCTTGAATTCACAAGATTTTAATCATCAAATACTTTATTGAGTTGACCATTTTAATCCTTATATCAAATGATTGCTAAATATTAATTTTTATTCAATTCAGCCAAATAATTTAATAAAGCTGTTGAAAGTTGCACATAAATTGTGCAGCTTGAACAACCCTAACATATATTAACATGCATAATTTTCTTAGTAAAATCACCTGAAATTATTTGAGTTATAATTAACTATTCTTTCATGAAAAATGACTTTAGTTTGGCTTCCAACCTTCCTAGTCTATCATGCTGACTCTACTTTCAATTACGAATTTTGAAAAATTAAAAATGCATATAGAATCAGAAGCGGAGCCATATTGGGATCAGTGGGGGAAATTATGTTACAAAATTAAATAGAAAATACAAGAAATAGATTAAATACACACATAACAAGAATAATGTACACAGATTTACTTGGCTCGCCCAAAATTCAAGGTTATATCTAAAGGTTGTAGGAATTTCACTTTAATAATTAAAACAATGATGGTTTAGAATGAATAGCTATCTTCGCAATAGGGCAACATAACAAATGCATAATTTATTAAAATACCCTCCAAAAAATTCGGTATCTATCAGACTCTACACTACCCAGCAAATTACCCCATTGAAAATTTCTTTTATATTGTATTTTTTACACATGACTTTTGATAATTCTAAAAGTGTTCTCACTAAAATTTTAAAATATTCATAAAAGACCTTAATAAAAACTTACAAAAGTTAAAAAGATTCCTGATTTTGTAACTCATTTGCCCAACAAGATTTGCAAAACTCAGTAAAGAAACATGTTCAAGAATCAAAATTCATAAAAGACTCCTCATTTGTTATTAAATTTTCTGTTATTTGTATTTTCTACACACAAATTTTGATAATTAAAAGAATACCCCAATTGAACTGCTAAAAAAATCACAAAAGGCCGAAAGAAAAACATCCCTTATTCAATACTACCCTTCATTTTCTAATTCATTGCCCAAAAAAATTTTAAAATTCACAAAAGACCACATCTTTTCTCCTTTGGTGGGTCACACCAAATTTTTAAGAATCAAAATTAAAAAAAAAAAATTCATTTGCTATTTCTTAGTTTGGATCAATTTTTTTTTATAATTATTGTTAATGGTTGTCAGACTTAAATTTCTGACTCTGCCACTATATATAATGATGGGTCAAGTGTAAAAAGCACCCCTATAGTATGCTTACACTGCATATTGCACCTCTCTCGTGCAAAAAAACACCCCTAAACTATGAAATTTGTGCAAATAGGTCCTATTTATAAAAATTGAACTAAAATGCCCTTAGCAACACATTTTATAATATATGTAAAAATATATATATTTTGTGAAATGACTAAAAAGCCCTTCTTCTTCTTCTTCATCACCAACGTTTGCCGCCGTCCGCCTGCCTTACCATCACCAAAACCCAAACAACCAAGGGCGGAGCTAGCATAGGCCCAGGGGGGCCCATGTTGGCCCATTAGTTTTAATTACAAAATAGCCTATAATTTATAAAAGTTTTCAAAATGCCCCCCTGAAATAATTTTTTTCTAAAAAATGGCCATTAATTTTTATTACACATAGGCCAATAATTTATAAAAAAGTGAAAAATGCCCCACTGAAATAATTATTTACCCTTGGCCAATTAATTTTTATTGCAAATAGGCCTATAATTTATAAAATTTTACAAAAATGCCCACTAAAATAATTATTTTTTTAAAATATCTTTAATTTTTCATTTCTTTTCATTCTTACTCTTCCTCTTCTTCTTCTTCTTCTTCTTCTTTATATTCTCTTAAAAAAAAAGAATTTGCATTCTTTTATTCAAACTATTTTTTTTTCTCTTCAAAATTTAGTATTTAAATTGTTGCTAACATGACTTTTAAGGTGTATTTTATGTTTTTATTTTTTTTAAATAATTATTTTTCAAATTATTAAATGTTATTATTCCACCATTATTACAGTTCTATTTTTTGACTTATTGTCTTGCATCACTATTCGTTTGAAAAAAATATAATTTATCATCTTCAATAAGGCTCCCCTGAAACAAATTCCTGGCTCCGCCCCTGCAAACAACCCCACCTGATCTGAACCCCAATGAATAATATAGCAGATCCCCACTTGATCTGAACCCCACTTTATTTGACGTTGATCCGGTGGCGCCGCTAACGTGCGCCGACCTCCCGCTTCTCATCAGCCTCAACTACTGCGGCCGCCTCGATTGCATGCCTATTCAGATCAACGCCAACGCTGCCATCTTAGCGGCGTAAGAATCAGCCGAGTGAGGAATTGCGTCATAGTACGAGGCTATTTGGTGGACTCCTCCTTCGCCGCCCCTCCCTCATCCCTCACCTTTAAGCAACGACCACCCCGTCGCCGAAGATAGCTCTGTAAAAAAATAATAATAATAAAAAACCCATTTTGGTGAACTGCTCGACGAATAGCAAATCTGATCATGCCTGTAATTGTTTAAGATTGAGAGCATGCCTGTAATTTTTATAATTAAATTCATTTGATTCGTCTTGTCAAAGAATGAAAAAAATGGTGATGTATATATATATCATTAACCAGTCTAAATTGGCTTATGTAAAGAATTTGTGCACATGATTACTGATGGTGACGTTTTACATAGCTGAATTTCGAAATAGTCAATTTTTGAAATAGTGGAAACCATTTAGGTGCTTCTATATTCATCATCCTTAATAAATTTTCATCAACTGGGGTTAGGTTCAGAATTTCATGTACAAGTACAACTGGGAGGAAAGAAATGGTCTCTTTGATACACATCTTTTTGTCTTCTTTAGGGGATTTAATAGCAGAAATCTATCTCTGCAATTCTAGAAACTGCTCTTGATTTTAGTGTCGACATTTTCATCTTTGCTCACTGTAGTGCTTGCTGATTCATCACTGTCTGTCGTAGTTCATCTCCTTGCAAAGTTTTTGGGCCTGTCACCAAAATGGGTTTTTTGTTTATAGAGCTATCTTCGGCGACGAGGTGGTGTGTACTGTATATGTGATGGAAGAGGAAGTGTAATGTATATGTGATGGAAGAGGAAAGTAGCGGTGGCGACGGCGGGGTAATTAGAAGTAAAGTTTGGTAAGGATATTTTTAGAATAGTAAAAAGGGTAAAATGGATATTATATTAATTGAGGGGTATTTTTGCATAAATTAAAAAGAATAAGAGTATTGTTTACACACATTTTTAAATAAAGAGTAAAAATATTATGAAATATATATTTCAAAAGTGTTTTTTTTGCACTTACCCCTGTAATGATAGAACTTAGTTGCAATAATCACATATGACTTCAATATTTGAAGAGGAAAAAAGATAAAATAAAAAACCTAATCACATGCAACCTAAGAATAAAATAAATGGTATGGGAGAAGAAGCAACGAGATAGGAGTAATAAACACCTTTGTGACAGTCTAAGAGGAACATGTCTCAGAGAGAGATATAAGTATTATGAATTGGGAAGAATGACAGATTGACATGTCCAAATGATAGTAGGGACCACAGGGCACGTGTCAATTTTATGAAGGATCACATGCACATTCCCATATGCATTGGTACACTATATATTCTCTAAACAACTCTAAATTAACTCATCCTTCCAGATACATTAATGTTTGCTGGTATAACACCTTCTTTTTTTTTTTTTTTTTTCAGAAAATGACATAACTTGCTTTTGGTTTGTATTAAATTTATAATTTGAGGAAGTTTAGTTAAAAAAATTTATTAATTTTTTTTTAAAAATCTTAAATCTAAGTATCAATTTTGTGCCACTAAACACAATATTAAAGTATTTATCTCAATTTCTAATCAGAACTTCTATCAATTTTATGCTCAATTATCTCTGAAGGCGATCTCGATCCCTCTCATTTAATAAAATTATTTTCATTCCCTCCCTTGACTTTTAGTTATCTTTATATTTTATTGTTTGTAATCTGTTTGAATTTCAATGCAAGAATTAACAATAACTTTTTTTTTTTAGCATAAGAATTAACAATAATGAGATACAGGGATGTGTCCCCAAACAGCTCAAGGGCATTCAAATTCTCTTGTTTCCGAATTTGGTCTTCTTATTATTTTATTTCCAATCATCCCCAACACTTAATTAGGACAATTCTATCTGTTAAATAGGTTATTGAGATAATAATATTCTCTCAAATTTCATGTACCAAAATCAACCACAACACTTGGGACTAATTTGGTATTAGTTTTAATTTTATATACATTTAATTATTTTACATCACTTTATACTTTTTTTCACAAATTACGAAATATTGGAATGGGATGGAGATTTTAAAAAGAAAGAAAATAAAATGGAGAATTTAGGAAAACATTTAATTAATTTATTTATTTTTACCGGGAAGCCGTGTGTGTGTGTGTGTGTGTGTGTGTGTAATTGAGAGATTAATAAGACAAGCTGTTAACCATGTAAGTCCACATGAGTGACGCGGTGTATACATTGCATGAGTCAGTATTATAGAATGGCAAAGTTGATTTTGTTTATTATTTTATCAACTTAATTAGATTAAAAAGCAAAAAATAAATAAAGTCATACTTGATGAGTAATGCACGTGCGCGATCAAATTACATGGTAGATGTTACAGGGTCAAATCACACCTTCAATTTTTGCTTCCGTAATGGCACTTGGGTCCACCAAATCTCAGCCAATATACAACACAACACACATAATATAAAAATATAAGAAGACACATACAGTTTACCGGGACAAACCCCAACCTTTGCTTATATTAAACATACTACAAAGGAAACCAAACTCGTACAAGGAACCAAGGTTAA